CGGGGTATAATGGGACTTATCCTCTGCCAATCAAATGTGCTTAGCTGGGAAGTCCCCGAACAAAATGGCAGTTTATAGTAGCTGGGAAAATCATCTGTTTTTTTTTTTCGGGAGATGTTCATTTGCATGTTTCATTACCAGAGGGTAAATAGATTTAAAATAGTTAAAACTATCATATCATAGTTATCTTCATCGGTTTGGACTTTTGGATCATCTAGTCTAACACTTTTGGATCATGTACGGATCATTTTTTAGCAATTGTTCAATCAATTTCACCAGTCAAACTTGGGGATTTGCCGATGAAGATCTAGGTTTTGTGGTCTAAAGTACTGGAGTCTTCATTTGCTCTCTACCTGATGTCCATCCCAGATGACTTCGTAGAGTACCGTCTTTCAAAATACCCTTTTTGCTACGCAGTGAAACGGTGGTTCCACCATTGACGAGTAAAAGCTGGACAGAATTCTGCATCATCTTCAGCAATTACGGAACCTCAGAATTCATGGCGACTTTATCGGGGGAAACATGGATTTTGCATCACTTTGATGGCCTTAGAAATCAGGTTTGACAGTCGTTGTGTCCTTTTAGAGGCTCCTTCTAGTCACTCCGAAGTAAGGATTGTTCTTGAGATTTTTTGCGACACTTCTTTTTAACCACAACTACTTGGTTGGATGTCGATGAAACATGGGAATATCAGGGAGGTGTAGTGCCAAGCGTTGTAGCCGGCTTGCCATATTGAAGAAGCCAAGGGTACTCGGAGAGCATTACGGCAGAATCACATCTCTGGGGTCTCAGGGTGGTTTCTGCGAGTTACCCAGCCGCTACGGCCGCTTGCCATTGATGGTATACGTTTTTACTTGACATGGCTATGATTCTTGTGAAAGTGCCATGTTCCAATCTGGGTACCCAACCTGGTTCTGTCAAAATAGCTATTGAACATGGCCCAGTCGAAATCGTTGATTTTCCCATGAAAAATTGCCATTTTCAATAGCTAACTGTAACAAATTACCAGAGGGTAAACTGATCCGCTGATTCACAGCATGCCCCATGGATCTCCATGGTGCTGGAAGATGTACCAAGATTTACCTTCGAAATGTCACACCATTTACCGGTACACAATACATATACCATACATGGAGTAACATTTCCCATGAAAACAAATTAATACCTCCATATTGTTTGGGGATGTTCAATTGCTATATTTGATGACACCGTTGGGTATATATGGGTATATGGGGCTTTCCTAAATACCCCAAGTCACCATGGGTTTCAATACTGTATTGAGTCATGGTCATCCATGACTTGGATGATTTGGGGTATTCCTATGATCAACTAGTTCGACATATCGTCCATAAACCATATGAACTGTATAGTTTTTTTTTCATGAAAACCAATGGTCACAAATTATTTGGTTCATCAAATCAGAAAAAAAACATTAAACCAACATTGGGTATATTATTTATATACCATTATATACCCATGATATATATATAATTATATATATATATATATAATTATATATATATATAATTATATATATACAATTATATATATATATATTTGTATATATATATATAGCCTATACAGACACCCAGCCGCGATAGGTGGACACCTCTTTGGCGCTGCTGCCATGAAACCCAAGGCTCAGGCCGGGAGGAGCATGTTTTGGCGACCGGGGTTTTTCGGGGGATGCCGTAGAAAAGCGCAGTTGAATGGGGAAAAACATGTTGATGACATATAAATATCCATACATATCCATACATATATATATGTATATATGGATATAATTATATATGAATATAGGGGAAGTATGATCAAACACAGTTGCGGGATTTCGTGTCAAACCCTGCAAGTTGCATGCCAAAGACACCTGTCCATTTGTTGCCCAGCAAAATTGGGGCAGGCAGATATGGCCACATACAGGGGGAAAAGGCATTTTTCAAACTTCAGGTTTGTTTGTTTGTTTTTGTTGTTTCTTACTGAAAAACAAGTCACTAAGCATTCAATATGATTAAAGCTTGGGGTTGCACAGTTTATAACGCACACCCGCCCTGCCCTGGTTCGCGTTGATGGTGAAGGATGGTGATAGTTGCAATGTCATTGCTTTAACAGTGATAAAACTTGCCAAGTCCATCATGAGTCCTCAATACTCCACAAGTGAAACCATCATGGAAGTGGACAATGACCCCACGGCAGATGACTGTTGCAGCATATGAACGCTGGAAAAGGGGTGTTCAACATATGCGCCATACTCAAACAAACTTGGATTATACACCAATATTTCATGGCCATCAATCCATTAGGGATTTCATGGCCACATTACAAGGATGCCCACATTTCATGGGACAGACGGCCATAAACCATCATAAACATCATACAAGGTGGTGCCCCCAGTTATAAGTTTGTTTATAATCCCATTAACTATAGATATATCACCTATAAACCATAGTTATTGGAGTTATAAACCAACTTAGCTATCTAGGGGGCACCACCTTGTAAACCATGGCCATTGACCCTAGCACATCTAAAAAACCATCGCTTCTGTGAGACATCGACCCGGTGCCGCAGCGTTGGCGGTTCAAACGTTGGAAAACGCCAACGGCGGGGCCCGGCGGCCGGTTGGCCAGCGGGGGCTCAGGTCGCGGCTTCACGTCACGGGAGATTCAGCCGAGCTCCAACATGGAACCCTGCCGTGGATGAACGTGGTCATTTTTTGGCTACCCCCCTGGATTTAACATGTACCCTCTGGTTATGACTAACATCGCCGTGGAAAATCACCATTTTTAAAAGGTAAACCCAGGTAAACCATCTATGAATGGGCCATTTTCCATGGCTATGTTAAATAACCAGAGGGTAGCCCTCAAAACGGCTATATCCAAGTGCGGGAAATCATCTCTTGGGGCCATTTCGATGGGTTACGTACTAAATTCCAGGGTTTTCGCTTTCGATGTGTTTTTTTTTGGTGAAAGAGCCAAGGGTGGCTGAAGTCCAAAAAACCAGGGAGGCTTTCCGAAGTCCATGATTGTTGTTTGTTTTTTCGGGTCATGTAATTTTATTGCAACGGACAGCGTGGGTATGGCATGGGTCAAAATTAACTACCCCTAAATTGCATTCTTTGTAGCAGGCCATGACCAAATTTCCATGTCTGCGGTCCCTGCCAGATACAATTTCCAGCAGCGCTGAGGTGTATTTCCATGTATGTCCATCCCCGTTTGAAAAACGGTTAATCAGAATGGTTAACATTCAAAGTACACCCAAAATGATTAATCACATTTATTATCACAGTGTCAATCACATTTAATCATGGTTAGTAATGGGTTAACTATGGGATACTGGGTCAAGATAAACGCGTCAACTTCCACGAGCTGGTCCAGCCTCAATCATGCTGGATTGTTTCGTCCGGGAAAATCGACATGAAGCCATGGAATTTTCCTGTGAACTATGGTGGTTTCCTCTATTTGGTGTTCCCTTGCTGGTATATATGCTAACATTGGGGGTATATTGATGGGATCCATGTTACTATATATGGCATACATGGATCCTATGGGTTATTGAATGGTTTTTGTTGCCTTGATGCATAAGTGGCTTCGCTGATTGGAAGATTTTGTTCAGACACCTTCGAGTTTTTTCAGCGCAGTTTTTGGCATCTCTTGTTGCCACACATGACCAATTTGGCATTCGAGTGTGCGCCAGGGTCATGGAGAATTCCACGCTGGGAGTAGAGGTCCTGGATGGGGCGTTGTGAAAAAATGGGTTTGTTCCATTTTGTTCCCATGAAATGGGCCTAGAAAATACAAGAAACGAATGTGTCTTATGAAGAATGTATAGCTGTAGCCATCTCGAGCCATTGGAGGTTTGGCGCTTGGTTTGCATTTCTCATGTGATTCAAGGGATCATTTTGGTGGAACAAATCAACCATGTTGAGAGAAAATCAATTTTGAAGCCTTGATGATAAGAACATGTTTTTGTTTTTTTTTGCATAGTGATTTGATTGTGAGTGATGCTGCAGAGGCATGAATTATGATGAATCATGGTATACTTATCACATCTTATCACAGTGGCTTGATCTGAACATGGGCTAAGCGGCTAAACCAAATCCCAGTGTTTGATCACCATTTTTTCCTCTCAACATGGGCATAAACAGGGGGTGTACCACATTCCACTACGACACACACGACACATCCGCACGACCCTGCAGGCGGAGGTTTGCAGACAAGGTGGTTGGGATCCCAGATATGGAAGTTATGTCATCTTATCCAATTAGATGCTGGTTACAACATGTTTTGAACAAGGTTATATAATAGTTGCAGTATATATATATATATTATATCTATTATTATGTGTATATATTTATATATGTATTCATCAACCCTGACTGCGCAGCCAAGTGGTAGATGACTTATTCTGTTTTTCGTCCGGAAGTGGGGTAACACTTTCAGCATATTTCAACCATGGGAAGCTGCGATCTGTCAGGGACGATCAGGACGATGTTTTTGTTGGGGGCGATCATCTTGAGCACCAGGAGCTTGAAAGAAGAGAACTACTGTAGGTGGTAGTTTCACTACTGATGTTCTGCTTTGTGAGAAATTTTGTAAAAACCATATTTGGATATATTTAAGGCATGATGATGAAAAAATAAACTCAATGTCTTTGAATGGGTTTAATACATATTAATCCAACAACCACTAAAGCTGCCACAATGATTACAGTATGTTTTACTGTGGTACAGCACTCGCATTACCTGTTCTCCACGCTTTTTTTTGCTTTCCGATGCCACAATGCCGCAATGGATTTCAACATATGCCATGGTCTATGGGGGATGGTCGTCAATCTATTCATCCCTCTATTTTCATAGGGATATCTCTAGCTACCAGCTATATCTACTAGCAACCCACTATGTTGGGAATCCAATGATAATGAGATGACCAGGGGCCCCATACCAAGGTTCAGGTGTTCTTCTGCCACTCTTTGACAATGAATGGACGTGGGATCCGATCCTTGCCATGAAGAGCATGAAGACCTGGGCTGGCAACGTGTTCGCTGGCCCATCTTGGTACCTAAAATGGAGGTACTAACAGTACATTAAATAGGTACCTAAAATAGGTACTGTGGAGATTAAATCACTTTTCTATTTGATGCAATGTTAGATATACTTCGATGTACATTATCGATTACAGAGGCCTTAAGCCTGACGCAGCCTGGGTACCTCCAATTCATGTGAGTCGCCCGAAAAATGATCGTATTTAGTTCGAAGGTCACCGGTGATCTGAGGTACCAGAATGGATGCCATATTCCTCCTTATTAATATCATATTGATGATTTATATTCATGAATAGGTATCCAGAATCCATATTAATGATCATGAATATTAATTAATAGATATATATCCATATCATAATATATATATATACATATTCATGATCATGATGTATCATGATCAAGATTCATGAGTTCTTCATTACCATTTTGGGGTTCCCAACATGAACAGCCGCCTATTCTGAACAGTTGTTCAGTGGCATTGGATTTTTAGCATCCCCACGGGAACCGTTGGGGGATTGGCCGCCGGGCTACATGGAGGAAACTTGTTGGATGGGATTACCCTCTGGTTATTTAACATAGCCATGGAACATGGCCCATTTATAGATGGTTTACCATGGTTTACCTATTAAAAATGGTGATTTTCCATGGCTATGTTAAATAACCAGATGGTATAATAAGTGAATATCTGGTGTGTGGTTTCAAACATTTTGTATTTTCCATAATATATGGGATAATCCTTCCCAACTGACATTCATATTTTTCAGAGGGGTTGAAACCACCAACCAGTAATATAAATGAATATAATGAATCAAATTTGGGAATGTATTAGATGAATCAAGTTTATCTTGCATTGCAGGACCGCCCCAAATGGGGCCGAAGAAGGCAGCTTTCCCGTATTTTTTCGTTGGACCATCCATGGGAATTTTCCAATCACGAGTTGTATCCGGGTTGTGGGTTAGTCGTGAGAATTCCAAAATCGTTGTTGTTTGACTGTGTGACATCCAAATTTTGGCTGTAGAAACAGATTAGCGCATCTAAAAGCCATGGTATCCTGTGTAGATTTTCCCTGGACCTTGGTCCCTGACTGAGGACCTTACGTTTTTTTCTGTACTTCTTCGGTCTGGGCTACATGTTCTGCGGCGTTGGCGTGGTACAGAACTGAGAGTTTGGCGGTGGAAACGTGATCTGCAATTACCTTGTGTAGTTCGTATTTTAGGAAATCCAATCTTTGGTACTAAATGGCAGCCGTAAATGGCGATATCTACTGATTAAACAACTTGAGGTTGAACCCGGGTACAGTCAGAATGGATATTTGAACCGACCAATGGCTTCATTTTTCCAGAACGGAACCTGACAGCTGAGCCGGTTTCTGCAAGGTCTCAGACATTTTCATGAATGCCATCGAGGAAATTACGGTCAACATCTCAAAGATGCTGCTGTATTGACGGGAAATGGACGAACTGGCGAGACCCTTGCGTTTGGGCTTGTGTTTTCTGTAGAGAAGTCGAACGTACATGGACGCTGGCCACTGATCTATGCGTAGATCATATTATAATATAATATATATATATATATTATATATCATTATTATTATTACTATTATTATTATTATTAATATTATTATTATTATCATTATTATATATATGGTATCCGTTCCCCATTTATGTTTTGCCTGGCCAGGAGTTTGCTGACTGGCTCGTTTTACTTTGATATAGTGGGTCATAGTGGGTCATTCTTCAAAGCCCGTTTTTTGCCCCCCTCGAAGTGGGTAAATCTTGTTGTGTCACTTCCAAGTAGCCCAGCACGCATCTAGGATCATATAGCTATGGATCAAAAGCATAACTCAAAACCCTAAAAATAATGGAATTTGTAAGGAAAGGCAGCTTAGTTAGAACACTTCCGAGTTACGGACGATGGTCATGGTTTGCATTCACACCATCATGTTGGCCGCATCATCATGTCAACCACACATCATTCCCATCATCACATAGCTGGGAAGTGCATATAACACTTCAGAAGCGTGTGAATTCACGGGTGAAAACACTCTCGGGCGCGAAACCTTGCATTTTTTGGGGTAATGTGGCTCCTGGGATCGCCGAAGTAGGGTCTCTGTTTCCGCGGTTGCGGGACTCGATCTGGCAAAGTTGTCGACAAAAAGTGCACAGGAGCGAGAGCTCGATTTGCATTTCAAAATGTCAAAAAAAAATGATATGTTCGGAGCACTTTTGGGAGATGAGGTCGGCAAAATGCGCACCAGACATCACCAGACTGTAGCGAGAGAGCTCGATTTGCATGTTTTTTAAACATAGCAAAAAATCAGGGGATCGGAGCACTTTTGGAGGAATGGGGCTGGCAAAATTCATTGACTCGGTGCTTCAGGAATTCATTCATTGATTTCTTGACTTACTGATTCGTTGAACCATTGATTCACTGCTCCGTTGATCCACTGATTCAATGACTGGTTGAATCGCTGAATCATTGATTTCTTGATTCAGTGATTCATTACTCCATGGATTCATCGGCTCATTCAACCCATGGTGAATCATGGATGGTTCCATGATTCATTGAATCGTCGAATCATTGACTCATTGATTCCTTGATTCAGTGATTCACTTACTCACTGATTCACTGGTTCATTGATTCGTTGAGTTATTGACTCACTAACTCGTTCAATCATAGATTCATTAGTCAACTGATTCGTTGGCCCCTGATTCATTGACTCATTGATTCATTGGCCGCTACTGCTGCTGGTTCTGCTGGTCCTGCTGCTGCTGTTGCTGCTGCTTACCTTCCCACTACCGAGCTGCGTGCGCCACAAGGGGTTGCAACTGTATCTTTGGTTGCTTCACTTTGACTGTAGTTGTGGTGAAACTTGCGTCCCATTGCGTTTTTCAACAAAATCATTCGAAATAACCTAAAACTCTAAAACAAAGACTGCATAGATGCAGCGTCCACAATATGATTCCTAATTTTAGTGCCATAAAAAACACCGAACATTAAACGAAATAGATGATTGCTGGCGCACAGCGTCCCATGCTGATTTGAGCAGCACCAAAAACCTCCATGAAGGGATTTAGTATTCGGGTTCATGTGGGGAACCCCCCGCGAAAGCAAAACCTCCACGCGCGAAAGCCGCGCGAAAGCTTCGCGAAAGGAGTGCGTCAAGGTCGAGCCGCGAAAGCAGAGGCGAAAGCAGGTACATAGTAGAAGCGCATTTAAATATTCAAGTGCACCATAATTTACGGGCAATTTTCCGCGAAAGCAACCGCGAAAGATATTACGAAACACCTGTCACCGCGAAAGCCAAAACTGTGCGCGCGAAAGAACCGCGAAAGCCGTCGCGAAAGCTTAAAAGGATTAGAACCAAATCGGTACCCGGTTTTCGACGCCGTTCATTTGCATAATTTTGCACTGGCTTCTGTGATTTCCTGAATGCGCAGCGTCCCATTGTGATTGTTTTCAAACAGACGGTGCGCTGACTTTCCCGACTGGGTGTAATTGATTGATACGTTGATTCACTGTTTTGTTGATTCATTGCATTGGTTCATTGATTCGTTGAACCCTAGGTTCATTGGTTCATTCAGTGAGCTGTGCATGGATTCGCTCATGCCTTTTCGCTGTCATCATCCACAAACAATTTTACCATTCCTTGATGCACCTCACAACTTAAACACTTCATTGTTTCTGCATCGCAAAACTTTCCTCTAGGCCATTGATTTTTTATACAGTAACCATTTCATTTTTTTGAAATTTCCGCCCCGGTGCGGGCCGGGCATTACCTGGTATTATATATATACACAATAGTGAACACCCATGATGTATATAACACCATGTAATAAAAATATGAACTCTACTCATAATTCACAATGGACGTAGTACATAAGGGATTGTACAAAAGTAAACACCAATAAAATGTTAGTTCATACCGATTCATACCCGAATGACTTCACCCATCTCCATAGCACTGGGTCTTCCAGCTACCACGGCGCTCAGTCGAAGACAGTGAAGAAAGTGAACCCTGCAAGCGGCGAATTTGTGCCCCGCTAACTTCCCGTGGAGATGGGTCAAAATTTGGTACCTCCACAAAGTTGGTAACATTGGGTTTAATCAACACACATGGAGGTTTAATGGGATTATGATTAAACCAACAAACATGGAGGTGAAACAAAAAAAAATGATTTAATGGAATTTACAACTGATTTTTGATAGCTAAGTTGGTGCAAATAATTTCAATGTCACTAGGGTTTATTGTAGATATGTCGAATTAGTGAATGTGGGTTATAAACCAACCTAGAACTGGGGTGGGCACCACCTTAAAGATTGATGTGTCATTAAACATACCCAGGTTGGTTGGTCAATATGGGGTAAATATTACCAACAGGAGAAGCATTTCATAGAGATGACGGAGAGGTCATTTCATAGAGGGTTCCCACTTGCTGTTTGGATGTTGGCTGACGGAGGACCATGTTATAGCCAATTTTCTCTATAAAATGCTTCGTAAAGCATCTTGGGGCAAAATCAAGGGGTATCCAACAGGATCTCACAGTCTTATTGGGAGATTATCAAAACTAAAACCCATAGTAGGGATACCCATGGATACCAACCAGTAGAAATGTTGACATTTTGACCAGATCAACTTGCTGCTCGGGGCGAAAATGTTGGTTTCTCAAAATGGATAAATGGGGGATCCCCAAGTGACCATAGGTTTGTCAATTCCAAAATTGTCTTTCATGATTTGGATGATTTTTTGGGGCCCCATCCCATGACTTGTTGTGGTTCCCATCAATTCATGATTGTTGGTGGCGATTTGTTATGATTGTTCATGGTGTTTGGATGGGGCATGAGCATTTCATCACCTCTCCCACTGCAGGTACGAGTGAAAGTGTGGAATGCTACTGCCCGGCTCCTCAGAGACTGCAACAGGAGCCTGTTGGACGACAGAGTCTGTGCGTTTGAAGATGCAAGGTATGATCCCAGACTATGGCCATTCTCATAAGGGGAAACGATGATAAACCTTTGGATTCTCTGCGGTTTTGTGGTGACCTATAGTTTCAGACAGACCCACATTATTGGGTAAATGATGGGTTTGCATGAGGTAAATTCCAAGTGAAAACCTGAAAGCAATGATGGTTTTCCCAATTCAAAACAGGTGGAGTTTCCATATGATAATTTGTTGCAGGATGTCATTTGTGAGTATGACATTATTTGTAGGGAAGTGGAGCACCCTGAACTTCAGCATGGGTTTACCCGCTGGGTAGCTCTACCGTAGCCGGTTTAGTTTCATTAGCATTTGACATATCATAACATATCATCCGCAGACCATATCCAAACTATATATGGATATGTACTTGATTATTTATATATATACATACATATACATATACATATACATATACATATACATATAGATATACATATATCCAAGTCTTGAAGTTTTTGAGGCACATATTTCAGCCATTTTCAGCATGTTTCCTTGGTGCATCTTGCCTAACATTTTCAGCGCCGCCGACTTCGCCGTCTCAGGTGGCCAATCTCACCTTGATGGCTTTAGGAAGTTCAGCTCCAGAAATTCTGCTGAGTCGGGGATCCCTTTGTGGTGAATCCTGGGGATCCCGGTGGTTTTTTCGTCAAAAAAAAACACGGGCCGCACCAGATGTTCGGCAAGAACTTCTAAGGCGAATTCCGAAGTGTGCGAGTGATGATTTTTGACGCATTTGAGTGCTAAGAGATGTATCTGTATAATATATTATAATATATTATATACCTAGCGAACCTAAAACCCAACATGTTGCAGTTGTTTTTTTCCAAAAACCAGGTCTTCCCGCATTTTTGCCTGAAAATATGGGTTTTGTTCCCAAAAACCTGGTTTTTGAGTAAATATGCATTTCTAGATATTATAATATATTATATACCTAGCGAACCTAAAACCTAACATGTTGTATTTGTTTTTCCAAAAACCAGGTTTTCCCGCATTTTTTCCTGAAAATATGGGTTTTGTTCCCAAAAACCTGGTTTTTGAGTAAATATGCATTTCTAGATATCTTTGGGTGCAGTTTATCACATTTTATTTGCAGCAACATATCCGAACCCTTCCTTTGATAGCTCGCTTGCTTTAGGCCACCTATAACCTCGAATAACATGCACGAGTCCAATATCAAGAAGATATAGAACTCCCAGTTATAGAGTTTGTGTATTAGCCGACCGTAGAACTTCAATTGCATTTAGCTGTCTAGTTGTATATATGTATTTTCATTCAACCTTTGCGCAACTGCAACACATCCTTCAAAGGAATAACATTTGGGATGGGCTAAGTTTGCAGCCCAACCAATAATATAAATGTAATGTATGTACCTTCATGTACCATGTACATGGGGATAGCGATATCTATTTATGTATGTGCGTTGAAGCATTTGCAGAGGTCCGTTGAAGAAATTACTACCTGGTTTTTGGAAAAACAAAACTACAAAATGTTAGGTTTTAGGTTCACTAGGTATATATATATATTATTATATGCATATATTGATTGTACTATATTTGTAAGTTGAGATGAACTGCCCAAACAAGTTTGTTTCGAGGTGGCCAGTTTTTCAGCCTTGGAAGTCAGCTGTGACTGTCAGATTTGAGGATGAGTCCGCCCTATGAGTCTTGTTCCCTCTCATCAGCCGTTGGACACTTCATTTATTGGAAAACAAATTCATACAAGGTGCACCGCCAATACATGTATAAGTTGTTTTATAAAATTTATAAAGACCATGAATGAAGTTTTAGATATGTATACCATAAGACATACTGAAGCTGAAGCGTTCAGTTGTAAAGCAACGTAGCTATCTAGGGCCCCCAAAGTCCCTCGACAGCTTGATTTGGAATCCCGTGGATTCATCATTGGTTTCCGCTTTGATTTTCCATGTGATTCCAAGAAAATGACCCCAATGTTGGTACTTAAATGTTCCATACGTGGAGCATATTGCGAATTGGCAATTCATGTTGAAAAACACATTTCCAGGTCTTTTCGGCGCGATTTCGCCCACTATAGCAGCACTGAAACCTTGCATGGCGCAGCTTTTTGTCACACAGACCGCCTGACCGGCCCAGGCATTATCGAACTTCTGGGCAATGAGATGTACAGTGGCGAGCTAGGTCCTTCAACCATCGTGGGTACGCCCCTCAGAGCTTCAGCGGAGCGGCCTGGAAGAACTCAAGACAGCGAGAATCCCCTAATATCTGGCAGCATCCAACGTGTATATATATATATATATAGCGTAAGATGGATTATAAAGATGCACCATTGTTGATTAAGGATGATGATCATTTCAAAATAGAGGTTAAATGGCATGTGTAATCAATGAAGAGTTTTTTCATTGTGTCTGTAAATGGACAATAGCGATCTAAACAGGATGGTTCATCGCTAGGCTCGAGGGTATATGTTGAAGGGTGGATTTCCGTGTGGAACTTCGATCAGAGAACCTGGGTGGTTATTTGTCAAGGCTCATTCTCAGGTCACAACATCCTTTTGCTAAGCCATTTGAGCAGAGTTTTTTTTTACAAGTAAAGATTTATATGAAAGTTGACCTGCACATGGTTGGATGTAGGCAGTTTGCTGGGGTGCGTAGGCTGGCGTAGGCATATTTTGCTTCATTTTGCGGCAGACACCGCGTAGGCGACCGCGGATTCGACGAATTTTGCAGCCTGTGGGTCAAGATTGAAGGGTCTAATGAGTGTAGCTCGATGCGGCATGTGAAATTTCCGCTGTCCAAAAAACACAAGTAATTAGAAGATAGCAACTGTTTTGCTGAGAAACAAAAGCTAATGGAACTATTCCGTTCCCTTTTCTGCAGAGTCTCAAGCCTCGAAGTTTGCATGGCCAAAATCCGAAAATAAAGGAGCTCCCCCGCGTAGGCACCGCGTAGGCGAAAAGTAGGCAACGCGTAGGCGAAAACTCTCATGACCAGGGATGCCCCCAAACATGCTCCTGCAACGTATAATATTATATGTTGTTTCCCTGCTGCCAAGAAGCGACAGCAGAACCAGCGTCTTCCACCTGCGGAATCATTTTTCTTCTTTTACTTCTTCTCCTTCTTCTTCTTCTTTAAGTTCCTCTTCCTCCTCTTCGTTTGAGTCATCTGCGGACTGGACAAAAAACGCGCGCTCAACGTGCTCGATGCATTTTTGGCGAAATAGGTAGTTGCCTAATGTCTTCTCACTATGTAACAACCAATGAATAAGCACATGGCCCTCTTCTTCCTCATTGTTTTTAATGCGATCATTGGATCATGAACAGCTTTGTAAAAGGGTGCGTAATCATACGAAAATGTTGCTGAGACTGTGGGCGCGTAGGCATATTTAGCTAAAAATTACATAAAACCTCACGCGCGTAGGCCTGCGTAGGCAACCTATCCCCACCCAAGCTTCCGCGTAGGCTGAAATTGTGCGCGCGTACGCGAAATGTAAGCCTCGCGTAGGTACCTATAAAATGATAACACCCTACATCAGAAAAAAAACACAACTCATTTGTTATATCATGTTATATCCTTTGTCAGAGTTTTTCTTCTGGCTTCTGATTTGATATATGCAGATGCATACATTGTTAATACATAGCAATACACATGCAGAAGATGGGTGCTCGTGAAAGTCGAACATTTCCATTTTGGGAGCTGGGCGTCGAGGTTCGGCAGCCTTTAACTTACTTTGCATCATCGCAGTGTGCATTTCTGCGATTCCCCCAGGGGAGGCGGGACTGGATATTCTGGGTGTTTGTGTTCTTGTTGTAAGTGGAGCTTGAGATTTGACACACAAACATTAAACAAAACATTGTACATAATATTGTATTATAATTTATAGACTATAATTCTATAATTGTCAATGGCTCAAGGGCTCAAACCCATTCAAGTGGTGAATGATATGAATACAAGAAACTTTGAAGGCCAAGATTCCCAAGACTCTCCACGCCCCCTGTTTCATCCTGTTTCATCCTGTTTCCAGGTTCGAAAGATCAAAGAGCTGCCGGTTTTTGTGGTCACCACCACCTTCTCCATTTTCGCACCCTGGCAATTGGTGCAGCTGGCTGCTGGCAATCTCAGTTCGTGGGAACTTATTTTATCGGTGACCCTATGAGAGTCGTTGTCACCGCAACGTGTTGACGTTTGAGAGGTACACTCCTGCCCTGCCATGTGTAAAGCTGAATCTGCTGAGTCATGCCAATACTACTGTATAAAAAAAAGCTCGTAAGGTGCAATTGATGCCACACTTTCTCCAAGCCGTTGGGTGCAGTTCAGCCCTGGATCGATTCCAGGGAAAATTACAGGAAACCAGTTTTTTTTTGGTTTCTCCATCTATGATATCCATGGGGTTTTCCAGTGCCCTATAGGTAATCAAAGGTGGCAAGGTGGAGTTTCCCAGCTTGCAGAGTCGACCGAGGCATATGTGTGGCTTCTCTTTATTCTACTGGTGCGCCCGGCGAAAATCGGCACAGCACAGCACCTCGAATTTGGGGATCGTTGATTGGTTTTTTTCTGTGGTTTTTTGTTCATAGTGTATCTATGTCATTCGTGGATATTTAATTATATTTATGGTACACATATGTACACATCAAAAAAGATCACCATTTTTAAGCCCATCTCTGCCCCACAGATCAATCGTTTTTTCGCATGGACAGTGGTGGATGTTTTTCTCCTGGAACCCAACTGTTGTACAGGTCACCAGTCCAAGTATTGTCGAGATATGGGAAGGAGGGGCCAGCCATGGGGGCCATGGGGGGCCATGGGGGGCCGACCGGGTCATAGCGGCTAGGGTTGATGAACAAGCCACCCATGTCTAAGCACTCGGATTCATACATTGAACATACAGGATATAGGTTTTTTATGGTGTTTTTCAACTGTTTTTGTTGATTCTTAATGATGTTTTGGATGGGTCCCAAAGAATTGAGCCCAAAGCCGGATCGTTATCATCCCAACATCAGGACCATGCTGTTCATGTTTAAAGACTGGGGGGACAGGGTGCGGATAAGCACACGACATTCCTCCCCCTTAAACACCCACGGATTTTAGAGAACTTCCGGATCCTGCCGCTGTTTTGTGAATTTTCTATAGGTTCCAGATCGCAGTTGAAACAATATTTACAAGTGGAGGATTTTGGGTACCTTTTGCAAATCTAACTATAGCTCTATGGAAAATAGCAATGTTTGATAGGTAAACCATCTACCTTCACGGACCTTCACGGAATCATGTTCCATGGCTATGGAAAATCCTCCAGTTTAGAGATGATATTCCCATGAATATTAGTTGGATGCATAGCCAGAAATGGGTTATGGGATTTATTGGGGATATTAGTAGCCATGAATACATTAGGAGTTGATAACCTTAATGTGAGATTAGTGACATGGACCCACATGTATAATTATATATGGTTCTAGAAGTTCTGGATGAATTATCATGACCTCACGTCGTGACGTCATTGGAATGATGGGAATTGGATTTGGGGAATCATCCCCTTAAATGGCCGTATGACAACAGTTCTTTCAGGTCAGTGAATTATTCAGCCAGAATCTTGGAAAAAATGTGTATTTGCCACTTGAACATGGAAGGATTCTTGACATCCTACTCGCAACAAACATTGGGGTATCCATAGGCTTAACTATGGGTCTCTACTACTCTCTATGTGGCTGGTGCATCCAGATATATCCAGATATTTCTTGTCGTTCCGCAATCCATTGAATGATATCCTCACATTTTTGGGATGGTGGCTCAAGAATTTGCTTCAACAACTCTATTTCTGGCCTTGCCGGCCGATCTCCCCCTGCTGATTTTGAAGGTGTCTTCACCTTCATCTTCTTCTGGATGCTCATCAGCGTTTGGGGCTCGGATAGGTGACTTTTCATGACTGTTCCATACTTTTCCTGTTCATGGTTTGAGGTGTTGCAGGGCTCACTTTGCCAATGTGATGTCAGATGAACATAGATTAACATGCTATCATTAAGTCAACCCAGTGACCCAGTATGGTGAGATGGCTGAGCGGTGGCCTTGTACCGTTCAGAATGGTTGTTTGTAGTGCGAAACCTGGAGAGCCGAGCTCGGGTCGAATCTTGGCTTCAATTTCTTGAAACTTCCAGGAGCCAACACTTCCAGATGAGTTTCACTTTTGGATCTTCCCGGACAAAATCTGCTGCAAACGTTTCAGAAAAGGGGAGACAACATGAAACATGGAAAAAAACCCGGAAATCGCCTTTCAAACAGCTCGGATCTTTCCCAAGCGCCGAACATCGCCCCTTCAGCCGCGCCCCGATCGCTCAGATCGCTTACATGGCCGTTGGGATGCCCAGGGATGCCGGCGAAACGAATCGTAAACGTCGGCCTCGATGTTCCAAACAGAATTTATCTGAATTTATGGGGTTTATCTATGGGGTATATCTATGGAATTTATGGGGTATATCTATGTATATCTATGTATATCTGGTAGGGCCAATCTCACTTGGCTTTGGGAATGGCAACAAATTTTGTTCTATGTTGAAAAAAAACCCAGCAAAAACGGATGATTTGTTGATGACCTTGCTAACTGGCAATGGGCTCATCCCTTCAAGATATGATTGCATCAGCCATTGTCGAAATATGCGGGAGCCAATCAAGTTGAGGGGCACTCATTGGAACACCTGATTTTGATATATTTTGATAGTTTGCTGTCATCATGGAACGCCCTGCTGGGCGTGTCATGGCGTGTCTCTATTTTGCTATTGGACAGGTCAGCTCAAGTCTGTTGCAAACTGTTGGCTCATGCTTCACAAATCTGTAAACAAAGGAGTGAACCATGTTGTACCAGAATTCAACATCACGGAGTAAGATCAGATGCAGAAACCCCACTGCGGCTCAATTCCATCTTATAAAATGTTTGGCAGACAGTAACCAGATAACCAGTAACCATTGCCAAAATTAACACAAAAAGTCGGCCGCCCTAGAGGTGCTCCTCATGTAAATTCTCATGTTCTACTGTACGTGGCCCCCCCAACGATAGCTAAGTTGGTGCAAATAACTTCAATGCCTATGGTTCAAAATTACTTATACTACCCTCTGGTAAGCTAACATGATTATGGACAATCACCATTTTTAATGGGTAAATCAACCATAAATGACCGTTTTCAATAGCTATGTTTGTTTACCAGAGTGTATATAATTGTTCATGGAATTTTTAAAGATCCCATGTTTCCCATGCATCCTGACGATCCTGACGCGCCCTGAGGATAGAGGATACTTTGGTTTCCGCATCGAAGATGATGAGGATGACGATGAAGATGTCGCGCTCGCCCAGGGCGAAAGTGTCCGATGATGTTTGAACTGAAGAAATCACCATAGAAATTACAATCTGGTTATGACTAACATAGCTATGGACAATCACCATGTTTAATAGGTAAACTATCTATAAATGGGCCATTTTCCATGGCTATGTTAAATAACCAGATGGTATAGAAATTCAGAAGAAGTGGATGTGTCTGAAAATGGAGAAAAAAACAAATCTAGTGGTTTATGGATCTAATTTTTCGACAACAAATGGATCTAAATAGCAATTTTATGGATATACTCGTACCCTGATATACCATGATATACCCCGTTTTCAGACACACCTGAATGATGACTATAGCCCTGGGGAAACAGATGCCGGAGTTTATCAGGTTTCGGATTTGCCAGTTTTCGGATGCCCTCTTCTACTGGTTGCTCAATTGATAAGGAGACAATTCCCTTTGAACTACCAACGAAAATTACTAGTGAAATGGACGCTGGTATACCAAAAAATATGAGAACGACCTCTGCGACTCGTAAGCGATTGGTTTCTGGGCATGTTTTCCATGGAGGAATGTGTCATATCCCAGTTTTCCCAATGACAAATCCAAGTGTTTGCGTTTGGGATCCTTTTGGCATGCTGGTTGTGCTGCAGTCAAAAAGAATCAAGTTCTAAGATGTTTCAAGTACTTTGATGTTTCCTAGCTCGGAGAATAATCCCAATTAAGATTGGGTAGCCTAACCCATGTTGCTAGTCATGGACCACTTTGCCCACTTGAAGACCTGGGACTCTACCACTGTCAGGGCCCTGCAGCAACCATAATTTTGGAACCCTTTCACAGATCTTTACACGATTCCTTCATACTCTGTCTGATTCTTGACGCTTAAACCTTACCTTTGGTCCCCGCAACGACGAGTTGCTGGTTCTTGGCCAAAAACGTTGGCTCGTATCCCAAGGCACCCATTCGAACACGTGTCATCAGTGGGGAGCTTGGGAAGCCAGAGCAGGATGGCTCATCTGGAAATGTGTAGCCTGGGACAAAATGCCCATCGATTTGATATTCCCTACCTGGTTGGTGGTTTGGATTGTTTTTTTTTCCATATTTCCGGAATCATAATCCCAACTGACAAATATTTTTCAGAGGGGTAGGTCAACCACCAACCAGCCATTGATTTTCCGGAAGCTTTCCATGGTCCATACTTTACAATACTTTACACCATGGATGATCTTTATGAGGTCTCAAGGCAATCCATAGATCTCTTCTGGATACCAACCTAGTCACCTCTAGGAAGGGATTGCCCGACTCTTTCAATGGTTAACTAACTATATTATAGTGGTAAGGGGCTTTTTGGGGGGCATTCTTCTTGGTTACATCCCCCTTCTCATTATTGAAACACATCCATTTAAGCATAGTGAAAAACTGGTTATTAGCTATGTTGCCAAATAACGTCTATTTCTACGGGTCAATTGCTGTTTTTGTTTTGCCATATGGGGATGGATTTTTTTCGCCTGTCTATATTTGGGTGGATTAATATACAGTATCCATTTACAGTACCAGAAAATTTTGGTGTTCACAAGGGGTACAGGGTGTATAGAGTTTTGACCCATCCCCGTAGGTTCCCAAGGCCACCGCAGAGACCGGTCCCCATGTTCCGCCCGCCAAGGCGCCGAATTAAGCGCGGAGGATTTAGCGAAGATCCAAAGTCAGCTGTTGCAGGCCACCACAGGGATAGAAAGCTGGGATGAAAAAAACGAGTCAGGTTTCCAGTTTCCATATGGATCTATATGATTAGTTTCCATATATAAGTTTCCATATATATATATAAGTATATATATATAATTATATATATATGTTACTAATGTTGGTTTTTTCCTGCGTTTATTCATGGGGGTTTAGCCATGGATGGGATGATCCGGGGGGTTTAGCCTTGGAAGGGGCAATCTGCAGAAGGACTCTGTGCTTTCTTCCGGAAAAAAAAATGGTTTCTGGTCATTTGTCCTTTAACCCATTGATTCTCATGTATTTTTTTTTATCTTGGTGGAGTGGCATAGTTTATTGGGCTTAGCTAAAGCTAACACCCCAGCATACTAAATCCGAGCAATGGATTCTTGGCGAGTCTTCATTTGACCTCACCAAACAACTTGGTGATTTCATCCCAAATTATCCCATGGCGACTGAGGTGCATGGTCGTCACCTTAGCGACGATGAGCTGATCAAGCTCATTGAGGCGGAGTTCAGCAGTTCAGCTGGGATTCGAACAAGCCTTAAATTGAATGGCTACGGAAAATAAATCGTGATTTGAAATTGATTTGACCACAAATTGGGAGTATATTATTATATATTATTAATATTATATAAGTTATTCTATAAGTTTATATGCAATATACAAAAAGTCAAAAAAAATAATGGTGAAAAACATGTCATAAATTCACCCCCTCAGTTCACATATTTCACATGACCCCAAAAATAGAGGATGTTTAATCCCCGATGATGGATCGCGACCAGCATATGGGTTGCTATTCTCCGGTAATCAAACGTGGCTGGCTGGGAAATCCTTCATGAATGGACCTTTAAATGGGAAAATCACCTGCTTGATGACTGGAGGGTATATCTCAAAATTGCCATCATGGGAAAATGATGTTTTATACGGGGTATAATATGTTTCAAACCGCTGTTTTTTTTCTTTTTTCGGTACCCTATATGCTTTCTAGCCATCTATTGAATCATTCACACTCAACTGGATGGTATTTGGGGGTGCAGTTGGTGTTATTAATGGCATTTAATGGCTATAACTACTGTATGGGCCGATTTTGTTTTTTTCACCTCCAGAAGTTGTTTTTTTCGCCCTATGGTGAAATCGGAGACCCAGCTTCCTTGGTAAGGTTCTCAAATGTCATCTAAGTCATCTAAGTCGTCAATGCATTGAACATTCCCAATGATGGGTGAGTGAAAAATCTTAATCATTGAGAATGATGTCAATCTATGTCAATCTTATCACTGATTTGAACTTGAAGATACTTGAAGTTATAGATTTCCACTGGTGATATTCCCACCATTCCGGTTCACCGCTTTCCCAATGAGCTTTTGTTGCTGCCATCCCAGGAGGAACGAAGTAATCAGATGCCGCGGAAAGAAACGCAGGATCCGGTGGCCCCGGGGGTTTTGAGGAATCACATGCCAATATACCCTATGGATCCCTATGGTAAATTAACATAGACCCTGAAAATGACCAATTTTTAGTGGAAACTAATCTTCCAACCCCCATCTGCCAGGGTCTATGTTAATTTACTGGAGGGTAAATATAATATAATCATAAATATCATCATTAAATAACTCATTCACATCACTTGACTCACTTGACTGTAACTGTGTGTAACTCATTATTTCCCCAATTCTGGATCACTGAGAACCACAGATACCTTGTTTTGGGCAGTTGGTATCTCAATGTATCTCATCTAAAAGAGCCACCATGTGGTGGTCAGTACGGTCGGTTCACCATGGTTCACCATCCCTAAACAGGTGATAATTAATGGTCCCAATTAGACTTTCAAACGTCTTCATACGTTCATTGAATGTTCATTGAATGTGAATGTTTATTGAATGTTCATTGAATGTGAATGTTTATTGAATGTTCATTGAATGTTTATTGAATGTGAATGTTTATTATTGAATGTTTATTGAATGTTTATATTCAGTGGAGCAACGCCAAGCAGAAAAAACATCGAGCTGCTGGTGTCATTGGACAAAACAAAAAAAACTCTATGCTCTTGACAACCGCGGTACCATGCTGTACTTTTTGGGGTCTGTTGTTGAACACATTCAGCTCCAAAGTGGGCCTGACTTTGGGCAATATCGGGCACAAAATGATAGAAATTGGTGGATTTCGGGTGTCGCTCTCTAAAGGGATAGCATGTCTGACATTGCCTGACCATGGGATGGCTACAGATGGAATTTGGCAGCTTTAATAGGGCAATGATGATTACTCATCAAAATTTAACCAAATTTCAAACAAACCCACTCATCCACCAGGCCCAAATCTTAAGCTACCCAGTCATCTATCCACGCGCTGCCAAGACCGACATGCGAAAAGTTGCGCCATTGGATATTGAGAGCCAGGCAACTTCGAGCTGGAGGGGGGCCAGGGGGGCCTGGTTGACGATTTATTTGGTCTTGCTTGGAAATAGGATGCCCCTATGATACCCCCAAATTCGATGGTTCATTGAAGTTCATTGTCATATTCCCCAAAATGGAAATGTGGATCGTATACCCTAGCTTAAGACAAATTCCATTTGTTCAAAGATATGCGTTTCAGCCAATCAATGTGGTTGGCCATGTCTATCATTTTGTGCTAGGAAAGATGCCAGAGATAATGTGGTTCCATTAGGTTCCATTGGCACCCCTGGTCATTGTGCATCAACTTTTTTCCTTGTCGGTTTTTGGTGTCCTCTAGTTTAGAATTCGAGACCCAGTGGGGCTGGATAATCTATACCGCTGCCGTGGTTGTTCCACAAATAAAAGCTCTAGTAACTATGGCAGAAAATTAGATATCCCAAGTCTGCAATGGTTTCAAACTAAAACGAATCACAGTGTGTGTGTGTGTCGTTTTTAGGGATTTTTACGCCTGTGGAAACATGTGGGGAATTGTTTGTCAGGATCCTCTGGGAAGCACAAATGTTGGCAATCTTGAGCATGTTCATTTGTAAACCATTTTGACCCCTACCCATGTCCTTATCCGGCTGGTGATTTCAAACTATAATTTGTTGTACTGTACAAGTATCTTCCATTCTGTTATATAGGGACCATGATTCCACTTGACGACAATTTGTTGGGATGGGTTGAAGCGACCAATCGCGTATTCATTACCCTCTGGCAATTTAACGTAGCTATAGCCATAGAAAATCACCTCTTTTAATTACAGTAAATCATATTAATCATCCTAAAGCATATTTTAAAATATTATAAATAGGCTTCTTCTATTATATAATCATCCTAAACCATACTATAAACAGGCCATTTTCCTATGTCAAATTACCAGAGGCTTGACCATTTTTTTCCAACGGCAGGCGCCAAGCTGCATCGTGGGCAAGGGCTTGGAAGGCTTGGACCTGAGAGGGTGGAGATGGAGGACTGGTTGGCTGTTTTTGCTGATGTGTATATAGTATATATATATATGGATGTGGGTCAAAATGGAAGACCTAGGGGACCACAGATGTGAATGTCTAGTTTAGTATTAACCATCCAATTATTGGGGTACCTAATTTTGACCCATACCCATATATATATATAGTTTTTCTATGATATCTATGTTTACATATTATATATATATATGTTTATATATACTTTACAATGGCTGATGATGCCACTTTATTTTTAATGATGTTATATACTGTATATATCTGTATAATTCTGTATGTACTATAGTAGATGATGCTTCCAGTTGATTTTCATCATCGATGTGCCTTAAAAGTGATGTCGGTAAAAACCCATGGAGGTCCAACTGGGGGTTGTCCAATCCGCCTGGGAATTTCGATGGTCTGCAATGCTCCTAGCATTTGCTCGCTATCATTTGGATCTCTATATATATATATATGGGTTCACCACAGTTTGGGGGCCCCATGGGGAACAAGAAAACTAGTTTATAAACATATATATATATATTTAATTTATGATTATATATATATATAGAAATGCCCAAAACAAAATGGTCGACTGTGATCCAACATACATAGTTTTTTGCTAGCTATCCAATGTTCTGTGCCTGGATCCTCAAGCTACCGAGTGCAAGTCACCATGGAGTCACGTGCGTATGTGGCAGACCGCCAGCCAGATTATTACCTTTCGACCAGTGTCTATTTTTATTTTAAGTGGTTGGTGGTTTGGAACATGTTTTATTTTTCCATATATTGGGAATAACAATCCCAACTGACTTTCATATTTTTCAGAGGGGTAGGTCAACCACCAACCAGTTAATGACTTATGTTAACCAAGATATGGGCTTTGGACGACTAATACATCGATGTCATCGCTACCTTAAAGATTTAATCTCTGAGGCATTGCCGGGCATTGACACTTCAGTTTTCAACAATGCGTTAGGCTCTTCCTTTGGGTTACGGTGTCAGGTAGCTCTAGGCATCCACCTGGTCCCTGTCAATCCCACCAATGTCTGGTCAATATATGTACAAGCTTGCCTCTATTGCTCCAGCTCTTTTCTTGACGGCAAGAAATTCCGCTCTAGCTGGAAACCAGATTGGGGGTGCTTTGACACCCGGATGTGAGCTGCTGTCGCGAATTGCACGCTTTTGTTAGTTTCTGTCTGAGTGCCTGTAAGGCTTTAAATTGCAATGGGAAAAAAAAGTTAATGACTTATGTTGGCAATGACTGCAGTTATTTTCTGAACCAGTGCGTGACATCACCTGTGGCATTTCTTTCCGGTTTCAAATGGGTTTCCTATCTGAAAGTCAGTTGAAAAGCCGTTTGTGGCCGCCTGTGTTACATTGTTGAGTCATTTGGTCGCGAAATGGTCATTTTTTGGGTGACGAAAACTGAGGTATGGAAGACGTGACCCCGCCCAAGGTGGCAGCCAGGGTAGCCAGTAGATATCTTCCCATAAAAGCAATAAAATCATCCCAATATTTATGAACATGGGATGATGTCCAGCCATAGACAAAAATCTCATCAGAAATATTGGGATGATACAATAGATTACATAATGATGATATCATATCTATGTATATATGATCATCCATATTAATGAACATGGGATGATAACTGGATGATCATAAATGATGATGGCTAGAACTTATCCCCAAGCCATGATCATCCTGCCCGAAGTCATGTTCAAAGCCAGTAACATCAGGCACGATGATCGTGTCCAGTGGATTTCGGGGCTATGTTTTCAGATCATCTTGTAGATTATAATGATATTCTCACCTGTAACATGATATCTGATAATTGTGGATTTTGGGCTACCTTATTTTAGAGATGATATTCTTATAGCTTTTGCTTGGAATTCCCTTTCGCAAACAAGAACAGATGGTATGGATGGGCCAGTGCATTCAGACTCACCGCAAGTCACCAGATGACCCACGTGTTCTACAACATGAACCCAAGCAGCCGTTTGGTGCCATTGTAAACGGTAGACACTCGGTTGACACGGTTCTTTAATTACCTATTACTACGTTATTTGTTGGCTGAATGAATGGTGTTTGAATGTCGAATCCAACTTTAGTCCTCCTCCTAGAAGTAGCATCCATTGATGAAAGCAATGGTTGTGGAACTGTACCTGAAACATGGATAAACGTATGGCACATATGGAGGATTTGCCCCGCAATATTTGCCGGAAATGACTCTTCGTTTTTCCATGGGATACAATAGGATGCCCTTTGGTAAACTAACATAGCGATGGAAATGGGTAAATCATCTATAAATGGCCATGTTTAATGGTAAAATCACCATGTTTAATGGGAAAATCCACTATAAATGGCAAGTTTCAATAGCTATTTTAGTAAAAACCAGATGGTATCCTGTTTTCACGCAAACCCTTAAATGGTCGGGAAATGCAAGGAGGGCAGGAGCTGAGCCGGTGCTCCGAGCCGGTTTCCCTCCACCAACAATTACAACATCGGTTGGAGCATGTTCCATTTTGTTCATTTCCAACCTATCCTTGAATCATTGAGATGATTGATGGGATAAGATATTATCGCATCAATCATTTATATAATATACAATCATAATAGCATATCCGTTGAAAAGTCATTTATATATATATATATATGTATATATATATATACAAATTGATAAATCATGTGCATCCATATATAATTATATATATACATATTATATAGATACACATGTATGTATATAATTATATATATACATATTATATAGATACACATGTATGTATATAATTATATATATATATACATATTATATAGATACACATGTATGTATATAATGATATATATTTATATATAATGATATATGTATATTTAATTATATGTGTATATATGTATATGTATATATATATATATATATATATATAGTACCTTTGTAAAATATATATGATTATCATATCTCGGACGATCGTCCCAGTCTTTCGGTCGTCCATGAGACACCAGGATGATGCACCTACGCTGAAGAGCAGTTGGAGCCCTGGGGCGTCGATTATCTAGGTAGATCTGGGTAGTTCTTTTTCGGGTGGTAATTTTGGAATAGTATCTGATATCTTGGGAGAATATCTTTTCGGGTTAATTACCCAGTTTTTTGTGTTGTTTTGTTTTTTGGGGTTAATTTTAGGAGAATCTCTTTTCGGGATGTACTGATACTGATAGTTGATATGGTACCAGGTTAATTTCCCGCTGTTTTTAGGCGATGAATGGGACAAGATCATAAATTACCCAGATACAAAATACGTTGCGTGTCTGAGTGCCTAAATATCTCGCAATGGGAATCCAAAGCGGTCATCCAGTTTTCTTGTCATTGCCATTGGATGGATGTCCATGTTTGACAATGTCTTGGCCCTTGCAATGTCTAAGCAAAGGTCAGAATATATATATAATATTTAATTCTTTAGGAACAATTATCATTAAGATCCATTCTGATAATATAATTCTGATATGATAATTCTGATATGCACTTTATAGAACATATATATATAATATTCTAAGAAAAGTTGAACAGTACTTTCGAGCAGACCCCTGGAGGGCCAACCTGTGCTTTAATTAGTGGGATTCGCAGGATTTCCAGAATTTGCCAATTTCATGTGGATTAACTTGAATTAGGAGATTTGTGGCGGCTTGAGTTCAACCCTCATTGCAGCCATCTCACTCCCAAGATGGGGGAACTTTTGTGGGTGGGTGCAATCGGCCCCCTGCCAGCACTTAAAGTGGCTGTATCCGAATCTTCAGGGGAGGTGCTATGGCCGGCGAATGTCTACTTTCAGGTGGCTTACCCTCCAAGTACAAGACAATTCTTGAAGGTAATGGATAAATCCGAAAATTCCATTCGTAGTCTCTACAGCGAGCTTTTTGAATCTGAAGCACCTCCCGCGCTTGCAGTCACCCGTCACAGAGACAGTAAAGGTTTCGATTGAGCCCCTGGAATTCTTAACTTCTTTGGTCGGGATTTTGGTTAAATACATGCAGCCGCGCTCCACAGCACAGGTTTGCTGCCATCACCGAAACAGGATTGAGCGGCCCTGTCCAGAGATAATTGATACAAACTTCCTGGATGCCAATTTGCAAGAAGTCCTTTTCCCAACTGGCGTTTTGTTTGCCATTCTGATTCACTGGATTGAGCTGAAGAGAGGGAAAAACGGGTTCCTCGTTCTAATTATTTATATGTGTTTGTTTTTTTGGTTGCCGAACCTTACCCCACACCGGGTTGTAACCTCCTTTTTTCATCCCCGCCGTGTCCAGGCCAATTGCGGCGCTGACGTTTTGGCTACTTCAACTTCGAGAAGTTCAGCAACGGCTTACAATCGATGTGGGTGAGAATGCAGCTAGACTCAAAAGAAATAGAGAAAAGTCACCTAATTGAGATTTAAAAAGATTCTAGTTGTAGCCGCAGTAATTTGAACTACAGTAATTGTGATATGTACAGTGGGATAAGATATCCCACCCCAACCCCGCAGTCTGAGGGTCAAGGAGTTCGGTAAACACCCTTCAATTCAAATCATGGACCAATGGATTTATGCAGTTTGCACCAGCGCACGCTTAGGTGATACTATCTCTCAATGCCGGCAGAGTGCAAATACCACCTGCTCTGCAAGGAGGTTTTCTGGGACCCGTGTTAAACTGGCTGCAAGGGGAACGTGAATCAGAAGCTCAAGTAGTCGCGAAAGATCCAGTGTTTGCCAATGTAGACCCTTGAAGCAGTTGTCAGTAAAAATTATAATCGCGACATTTTGTTAACATGCCAGTAGCAGGCATCACTGTTTGATGAGCAACAGTAGCTTATATTTTATAATTTGATAGGTTATTATATATACATATTATATTCTATATGTGTGTGCCACCCCCCAGTTATATACTATATTTTCAGTTTTTGGTCCATGGTAACGGCAACCGTGCTCAGGATGAACCCTACCTGGGCGCTCTCATCGCTGCTTGTCTACATCAACGTGGACAGCGCATTCGAGAGACTGCTCTGCACCTTGCGCGGCAGGCTGCAGTGCTGATGATAGAGAACCTTGGTGCCTACTCAAAGTCTCTGGACAATCAAGATGTAGAGAGTCTAGCTGCAGCGAGGGTGAAGAATGATAGACTTGACCCTTTGATCTACCACGCACTGTTTGACAAAGTGCACAAAGGGATTCATCCCAATCTTGCAAAGTCCAAAGAAGAGTTCAAGGTTGCAATGCGTGATTCGCAACTGCTCATGGTATCTCAGATTTGCTTAGCAATAACCATGTTCTCATGTGGACAGGGTTCAACCACCTGTAACTTGAGGTGAATGGGTGACTTATTGAAAAAAAACACCAACATTTTTTTTCGGTGAAAGGCCTGGGTTCCGGCATATCTTGAGCGTCTTCGCAACGAACTTGGGAACCTGGTCTATTATGAGGCTTGGGCATCTGGGTGATGGACCATGAAAGCAAGAGTTCGTGACAAACAACTATTGTTCACTCCAAAACATTTGAGTAATTAATTCAACAATTGAGGTATTGCTTGATGATATCGTAATCTTCTAACGTTTTGAAACAATATCGCAAACCATTAGAAACTAGCGCAAATCTGGGTTGCAGCATGTTTTGTAAATTGCCCAGAATAGATTACACATAGCAACAAGTCAGTTCAACACGGATTGCATTTCATCCAGCGCTGCTAGGTGATTTTCGATGGTGGAAACACTGGTCCAAACATTGGACCCACTTTAGCGGTGGCTTTATGGTGTCAAGAAGTTGAGCGACTTGCTGCTCTTTGTCCTCAAGCTACTAGTTTGCAACTGAATGGGAGAAGCTGCAGGGGTTTAAGGGCGAATCTGAATAATAGTCGTAATGATGTAGTAATATTATGGTTTTCCGGGGTGTTTTTGCCTCACGTGTAAGTGATGAAGACTTACCAGACTTGGCCATGCAATGATGAGTAACACCATCATCCCCTTAGCCGTGAAATCTCTCAAGTATTGCTCAGCTTCCTGGTAACTTAAGTTGCTTCTCTTGAAAGCGCTGTGGAGTGATGGCTGCACCCACTACTCCCACTGATGCATCAACCAAGCCAATGGATGCTTCGTTTTCAACGATGTCTGCCATGGCTGTTGCTGGCTCCCCTCCGCCGCACATCAACAGCCCAGTGGCATTCCGTCGGCAGAATGCCAAGGAATGCTTGGGTGAGGCCAGTGAGTCTGAGAATGCCACTTCGGATGAGTCAGTGGCCGTGTACCTGGGAGATGACTCAGATTCCGACAGTGGCCTGGAGATGTCAGAACGATTGAAGCAGAGGCTTGGGTGGATTCGCCAGGAATGGCGAGATCTTCGTGGGCACAATGCCTCCCACGGTTGCACCAGTGAATCCTGGCCCCGTTACGAGGCTTCAGTGATGCCCACATATGGTTGGACCATGATCAATGGCCAATGGATCAAGACGGGACAGATCTCCAAGCACAATCGTGATCGCAGGGCATCGTCAAAGAGCAAGGCATTAGCCAAGCCGAAGGCGAAGACACCTGTCATCAAGAGTGCTGCTGCCAAGAAACTCAAGAAGCCGGCAGCATCCATGAAGTCCATGAAGGTCTTGGTCAAGTCCATGAAGGCTATGAAGGTCTCCTCATCGGCATCGGGTTCAAAGGGGTCACCAAAGCAATCTACGGGGTCACCATGTACCCCAAACAAGGGGACAAACAAGAAATCTTTGGTGACGACCACTCCGAAGATGAAATCACCTTTGGCGACACCCCCAAAGCATGCTCCCCGTCAAGTGAAGCGTTCAGTGGGATTGAAGTCATCCCCTTTGAAGTCATCCCCTTCGAAGTCATCCCCTTTGAAGTCATCCCCTTTGAAGTCATCCCCTTCAAGCACTGGTCGGAAGCCCTCTACGCAGTAAGTGAGAGACCGGAGTGAGCGAAAATTCGACAGGGTCCCAGAAATTTCAAGAGATCCCACTGGACATCACCGGACGAGCGGCATCCGGATATTTGCATAAGATTTCATTGGGATAATCTTCCTACTTTCAAGAGGTAACTACTGACTGTGTTTAAAATCTACCATTATACACACATATCACATATATATATATATATTTATTTATTTATTTATTTGGATCCAGTGGGACAAGTGACAAGCTGACCCAGACTAAGAGCATGGCTGATAGGTTTTAGCGTCGCTTCGAAGTGCACACTGTATAAATTCCCCATAATTGAAGAGACGTGTTTGAACCACATGGCCAAGAGCTCAATGTGGGGCATAGTCCAGTTTTCACACCATTGCCACACACATTACTGTGCCATTTTGACCCATTAAACCTCATAGGTGACTCGCCCCCATTGAGCCAGCACTTGCAAAGCTTCCGCTGCAGATAGTTGCATTTTGAGGCGTGCAAAAGAATGGGTATCACCAAGTACTTTTCTTGTGCTATTTATTGTTGTTGATGGCCAAGGATTGCACAAGCGCCATGACAATCTTAATTAATCCATTGCAGGGTGAAAGCGGATCAAGTTAGCCAAGCCCGGTAGCTTCAGTTGAAATAATGTGGGGTCTACCATCGGCATTTGCTAATTCGGGGCGTGGCAAGACGGGGAACGCGCCACCACCCTCAGCGGGCATTCCTCGTTCAGAAGCTGCTGCGCCGCCGCCGGCTGCGCCACCACGCCAGTCTCCTCGACTGCCGGCGCAAGCACCCGGAGGAGGAGAATCAAGGGATGTTTGGTTGAGGGGTGCTCAGGTTTCGACAGTTTTACAGTACTTGAATGGCTAATTAACTATAAAAATATTAACAGTCCCTACTTATAGTTTGTTACTAGCGGAGTTCCAGATATCAAACCATGAAGAGCGCATGACATAAATGCATGAATGAATGCAATGACATGAAATGACATGAAATGAAATGAATGAATGAACCAATCAATGAATCAATGAATCAATGATGAATGAATTAATATATAATTTTAATAGCCAACCAAGTTTAAGATTCATTCCCAGCCTGCGGCCTGCAACTTTCTAACTAGATTCATCCACTGATTGTAGGAAGACGGGCAACCTCTACTCCTGCTGCGCCCCGTGGACCATCCGGCCGCAAATCCCAGCAAGTAGCGGATTGTGATGACATGTATGCTTTGGATTTGGGCAAGAAGACCCAGTGCTTGACCCAATTTGACCGAGTGCAGTGGAATCAACAAATTGTGGCGGTGCTTGACAACAATGATGCCACCGACACTTGTATCATGTCGTGGGGTGGGCCCAGATGTGCGCACATTTGGTGATATGTCAACAAGATTCAAATAGTTTAATCAACATGCATGACTGGACTCACCTCTGAATCAAATGAAATGGATTCACCAAGTCCCCATATGCTCCCAGTCTGGTGCGCTCAGGAATGCTTGGCGGTGTTGATGGATTTGGACCCAAGTGAGAAACCAAATGTCCGGTCAAATGAGAAGGGTGGAGGCAGGACCAAAGAGATATACTGATATACCCCATTGTTTTTGTTGGAAGGTCAATTTTGCAACTACAACATCAATTAAAGGGCTTTTCTGATGAGCCGCTAAGATTCACACTAGTGCCACGGAAGATCAGCCCCACTGTCATTGACCCGTGCAGTTGAGAAGTTCTTTGCTGGATTGGTGGACGAATACACGCGACGTCTATCAAGTGGAGAGCTGCCCCAGTGCTTCTTGCCGGCATTGCTCAAACACAAAAACTCTGTGATGGGAAATTGGTATTGTTCAAGAATTTGCTCTTGTTCAGTTCATGATGATTCATGTGGCAGCTACGCACTAGATGCATGTAATGGAACCCTTGAATAATAACTAATTTTCTTTCCACTTTCCATTCCTTGCCTGCCACCTGCAGCCAAGATTCCAGCAAAGCATTGGTGGGCCATGTGCGACAAGATCGCCAAGACCGTGAAAGGATCATGGCCTCAATCCGTGTCTACTACACGACAAGTGGTCAGCAGTGCATCAGCAATGGTAAGGAACACAAGTACTTACCAACATCCATGGCCGAATGGCACGAACAAATCTACAGGAATTTCAGGCGGTGTTTTTGGGGGGCGTGTCAACTGACCACGCAACAATCCAATTTAAAGATTTAGGTTTCAAAGCCTTGTCAACATACTTCAAAATATTGACAGTGAACACTTCATGATTGAAATCTTTTTGGATATATTCTAGCATCGGGCTCAATGTCAGTGGTGGTATTGATCAGAATCTTAAATCCAACAATAATTGTCAAGAAAAATATACAATTAAAATCAATTAAATATGGTAAAATGTTCTTATGTCTACCCATTCAATGGGAAAATTCGCTAAGCCCCATCGATATTGCAAGGGACTGCAAGCCCTACATCACCAATGGGATCCAGAACCAGTATGTGGACACGTGGTTGACGGTTGATGCACACGAACCCACGGTCGTGAGAGCCTTTAAATTGGATACCCAAGCAGGAGGTGATCTTGACAACATGTCACGCGCTCCCTCTTTCGATTCTCAGTTGGTCATTACAGTATAAGTATATAATCATTTTACTTTGTCTTTCAAAGGCCCCCCTCAACATAAATGCCTTTGTTTCATTATTCCCAGATTCTTGCTTAAGCTAAGGCAGATCAATCAGCGTGTTCTACGGAAGTGCCTTCATTTGTGATTGCCTATCCAGAAGGCAGCAACCCACCCTTGTTGGTTGCAACTGACAACCCACATGAGAACGCATGGCTGCCAGAGAATCCGGACGAAGATTTCATGGTCGTCAAGAACCCACGCACTGGGAAGTTTATGGTCACAAGCCCTTCTTTGGGGTTTTCCCAGTACGTCACTTGTCTCTTAGACATTGTCATTGCCAAGCAAAATATACTAAAGACGATCATTGGTATTTATATGTATGTATTTATTTGATTTACTTTCAACCATTGATGATTCCAACCACCATCCCTTTCATTTTTATCGATTGAACGCCATTGTCCATCATTTGCCTGCTTGCCTAGGTGAACAACATCATGGAGAACAGGGGCACCAAGCGATCGCGTTCACCGGAGCCCACAGTGGCCGTGCCTGGGGAAGCCAGCAACGCGAATACTGAAGGGGTGGCATCACCGGATGTTACTGTGTGGTGTTATTAAGCAATATGTTTGTTTTCCTTTACGCAATATAATTTTAATTTTGTTTGATTCACCATATAACCCCTCGAAACAATAACAAGGCAACACTAATTTTGATACGATGATGGGCTTTCATCCCCCCGCCATAGAAGGACTTTTGAACCACAGCTATCCCTAAGTGGAACCACTCCAAAAAAAAACAATATTATTTACCCCTACATGACGAATCTTGAGTGATCGACCACCCCTTAGTGTTGTAATCGTAGCATCAGTTTTCCTGTGGTCACCAATGAATTTTCATCCAGCTTTCCTTATTATTAACAAATGTTGTATTAACCAATGTTGTGGCACTGTTCGCTGACTCAAATGATGGTTTTTGTTTACCCCCTTCTTGTTAATCAGTATTTATTTAACAATTCACAAGGGTGACTTTATTTATTTGTATGGTTTTCCCATTTTCAACCCAGGAATCTTGATTCCCTTGTTTGGCAAACCTCTTGCCAAGACACTGCATGGCCGAGGGTGGCAACGCACCACCACCTCCGCCTGGCGACGCAAGCTTTGGGGAGCCAGGAGAGGCGACTGCCCCAGCCATCGTTGCGACACCGCCGGCACCATCCCTTTGAGTGACAAGTGAGTAGCAAGGGTTTTGGGAATGTCTTCCAGGAAAGAAGGGCGCAATTTGTAGTACAATTTGTAGGCTAAATTTTGGCATGGAAGCTCCGTTCTGGGGGGTTGTGTCTCTCGAGGGGTCTGTTCGGATACGGTGGCCAAAACCCTGGGTTTTTCCACGGTATCTGAACAGACCCCTCCAAAATGCAGGTTTTGGAGGGGTCTGTTCGGATACCGTGGGTTTTTGCAGGTATTTTGCATCGTATCCGAACAGACCCCTGGAAAACCTACTACACTGGACCCCACGAGCAGACCCCTGGAAATACTACCACACTGGACCCTAGAATTAGAAAACTTGGGTAGCGTACCCCTTCAAATTGTGGCTATGTGGGAACCTGGCACCAGGTCTTCAAAACTAAGGGGAGTTTGCTGAAAAAACATTTCCCTAATAGTGGTGAATTTATGATTGGGAATTGGCTGACGACAATAGTCTACTAGGAAATGAACGCTTAGAAAGCTGAAAGATAAGGGACACGTAACTAGTGGGTAAGAAGCAGGATAGGAAGCAGTTGAAACAGTTTTTAATTTCACTAAATTCACAACGTTGGACTAGACTATGCGCCCTTCCAGGTACAGGTGAAGACTTCTCTCTGCTAGTCAGCTCTCGGATTTTGAAAATATGATGGGAGATCCAAATTTGGATGGCAGGGTTGCCAACAAAATATAATTGTTATACCATTTTGAACCCATGTTCGTGGAAAGGTTTATGTAATTTATGTTTGCAGAGCCGCACCCATGTTTTTCCCAAATGCATTGAGATCTCAAAATGTTTCTCAGTTTCAAATCCTAGTCAAGAATCTTGGCATTTCCTGCCCCATTTGGATAGCATTGGTTCTACACCGCTCCAACCTCACCAATATTTGGCCAGGGTGACTAGTAATGGTCAAACTCAATATTATGCTGGTTTGAGTTTCCAGGGATATTTAATGAATTGTCCTCTCATCTTACTTGGAATCTTGAGTCATCATCAGAGGTGAGCTCAGCCAAGATGCATTGCGCAGTCAGGCCGACCATTTTCACAGAACACCCTGTGCGAGACGGCAAAAAAATCAAACTGGGTGTCAGGGGTGAACAACCAGTTGAAGTTCTGATACTGATTCATTTTCCGAATCACAAACCAAAAGTGATCTGAAACAATTTTAAAACAATGCCTCAAAAGTGACGGGGGTCACTTACATTTCAACAAGTGGGGCGCAACTGCAACAGAACTACCAGATGAGCTACCCTCACTCCAACTAAGGTTGCTGACCGAAGCATGCTAGCAACTGAAGAAGTGGAAGGTGAACCAGCCCAGAGGACTGATGACCGGAATCTTGAGATTGAGGATGCATTGATGCTGCAGCAAGCTGCAGTTACTTCACTCGAAATTGATCTTTCAAGTAAGTAACACATGTCAATACCACACTTCCAACAATGTTTTTGGGGGTCAGCCCATGATGAAGTTTCAGTCCCCCAGGGCAAAGGATAATTGGGAATTAATTATTACAGTATAGTAAGTGGTGGGCCTGCCCAAGAAAACAATGAAACCATTCAGAAATTTGGGTCAGCTTAAAAAGATTCAATAACCCAAAATAAAAAGTAATTGGGGATTGTTGGAATTTTAATTGTGGAGTAATCCGCGCAACTAGAGATAATTACAATAATAATTGGATATTTAGGGGGTCAGTCATGAATCAGACAATCAAAACAAACCACATCGCTGCCACCTCATTAAGGTCATGGAAGCAAGTGGCCTCATAGATCTCGGCAGCGCGAAAAAGCTTGCGAAGGAGGCAAAGGCAGCTGCATCACATGGCCAGAAATCCTTTCGAATGCTTGCTAATGCGTTGGGACCTGTGGTATCAATGGATTCATTTGTCGCAAAGCCCAGCCGCAATGATGAACAAGATCGAAATGCCCTGGAAAAAAAACCTTTACTGGTTTTCTGCTGTGATGAGGAACGAAAACAGTGCTCCTGCTGCAGTTCAAGACCAAGCAATCCCGCAAAATATTTATATAGTTGGTTGGGATGCACGGACCAAATGATATCCTTTAAAATGAATTAATTCTATGTTCATGATTTGGTTGATCCACAAAGAGACTTTTCCCAATGACTCTATTCCTTTTTCTCCGGTCTCTCTGAGCCCAGCCCAGGGTGAAATGGATTCACCAAGTACTTTTCTCTATGAAACTTCGGGGGTACAGAAAGCAGGACTACCACCACAGATCATCAAACGATGCCAAGCTGGGAATTCAGCGGAGTGGATTCTGGGGACACTCAGCTCATCCAAAACTTTTAGGGTTGTTTCAATGTAATGTAGTTTCTGGGATGGCTCCCCAATAAACTTTTATGCTGATTTGATCCCAGAATTGAACAGCCAAAACTGTCAGGAGTGGTAGCAGCACTGCGTTTTGCAATGAGTATTTCCAGAAAACCTTTCTTCTCGTATGAATTCCACCATGTTATGCTTGACTCCGTGGGGTCGTATCTGAAATTGTTCGGTCCCGAGACTGAAGAGCCACGTGGTTGCAGACATGTCTGGCTGGAACTATTGTATTTAAAGAACTTGGTTCATTGATGGGTTATTAATGGCCTTAGTTGCCCCCACAAACAAAAGGGATGATATAATAAGGCAATATAAGGAATCACAATAGTGTCAACAGTCTTTAAAAAATACTCTGACTCATATACTTCCCTGGCTTAGGTTCCAAAAAGATCTTGAAGAGATGGCATTTGATTTACAAATGCCTCCAGATGCCACTGCCAAAGAAGTCTACGACAAAATCGTGGACCGAGCGCATGAGCTGACCTATACCAAGCAGGCCTGTGCACAATTTCGATCCTGAAAAATAATCCAGGATATAATAAAACTAATATTAGCTGTCAACAGTTCAAGATGCAGTGCATTGCATCGGACCTTCAAATCGTCTAAGCGTGTATTACAGACATATACAGACATAATATCATGTGAATATTTTGATATATTTTGTATATATACTGTATATATATATAATTTATTAGTAAAATATTTTTGTATAGCGCCAACTTATGATTGAGGCTCAGGATTCTTTAATGTTACAATGCTTCATCAGCACCCCTGATGAACAAAATGTGCCGATTCCTTTGAAGAATAAATAACCGGAGATTTTCTAGTCTAGCTCAGTGGTGGGCTCGCATGTGTGCTGTGTGTGGGCAGGCGCGTGTCAGAGTGTATGGTGCGCGTGATTTGGTACAGTGTTTGCTACTGTTGCTTCAAACGGTACGTGGGTGTCTCGAAAGTGACTATCACCAATCAAAGGGACATTGTTAGATTTGGGGGGGGATAGTATCATGTCGAAGCAATCCGATCCTGGTCATGCAGGTTACGCTATCGAAATTTCATGCCTTGAACTTCAAGATTGGCTCCACTCTTCAATTTTGGACGCTGCTCAAAAAGATACACGACTGGAGAGCTAAACAAGCAGGGACCTGGAAGACAGATGGGGGTGGAGATGTGGGTGTGGTAGATGAAGGGGAAGCAAGTGCACCAAAGCAAGAAGAAGACAACTCAATACAGGGCTTACTTGACAAGCTGCGACGGTTTTCACAGAATGAGAACACGTTAGAATTAGCACAGTCCATTTTTGCCGACATTCGTGTGCGACAGTTGGGCTATATGCTACTGGACTTAATTGATTGAATATTTCTGTTCTTCACTGTCGCACAATTTTCTGTCCTATTTGGTGTTCGAATAAGAAAAAAAACTCCCACAAACACTGCTGTGTGTTACTGACACAAACTAAATCATACTAAATCCCTCAATGGATCCCAACCGTTCATTGTTCTGTTACTGCGCGTTCTAGATACCAACCCAAATCTTTCTTGTGTTTGGACAGCATGCCTGGGACTGGGACTAAGGGTGTACTTCGCAGAACGTCCATTGAGAACTGCACACCTACAAGTGCTCAATTTCACGTCGGACAGAAAACTGAACATTGAGCAGCAAGCTGGGTGGTCCAACAAAAGTTGGGTTGTAGTCCTCAGAGAAATCTTTGAAAACCTTTCATCTTCCGAAACCCTGGAGAGATTGAAGTTGTATGAGCGACCTGTGAACGATGAGAGCGGACAAAGCCTTGAGGATGCCAAATGTTTTTTCACCCTTTGCCTAGAAGTGGCATGCCAGCGTGCATGGAGCATGGCCTGCCATTCAGAGACGCAACCGCATCTTTGGCTAGGCATTTGTGACCCAGACACAGGCTTGGCTGGACAATGCAAGGCCAAGATTCAAAAGGACGCTGAGGTGGTTCAGGCCGCATTTCAAGCTGCTGCGAATTCAACTGGTGATGATTTGAAGGCAAAACTATGTCAAAAAAATATTGGGCCGGCCCCACAACTTTAGATGTTAGTGTTGAACAAACGAAATGACACGGCTCAACAGTGAATAGTGAACCTTGCAGGCAGTGCGCAGGCTTTTGCAAGACCTCTGGTTTCACAAGCTCACCATGGTTCAGGACAGGGGTTTTACAGTGTAATACAGCTGATTTTACTTCACAAAAACAAAGTTTCAGTTTTAAGCTTTAATTGCTTTAATTCTGCATTGGCCTGGGACTATACTAGAGTATACTGGATTATTTCGACAAGTTTCAAAGTTTCCAAACCAAAGATCCAGGAAATGTGGGAGCACTGCGGGCGTTTTGCTTGGGCCACTGATTCCATGTGGGGCCACATCTACAGATTATGTGACTCCTTGGCTTCGACGAAGGAAGTTCTTGAGGATGTTTTTGGTGCCGCAGCCGACTTTCAGAGGGCCAACAAGAATCCGTTCAAAACTGGGACAATCGAGAAGTTGCATCATGTGCAATCTTATTGGGTTCGCTTAGACAGTTCTCAATGGCCAAAGCTTAGACCCAACAGCCACGACTTTGTCACGACGCGAGCCGCTCCACACAGAAGGCATGTGAACATTGGTTCATTCGCTCCTTCCTCAAAAATTTCAGAAGGGTATCGGCTAGCATGCCTGAAGAAGCACAAAGGACAGGAATAAACAAGAACTATTCACTAGTTGCGCGTTCCAACGGTTGGAGTCAAATTCCATGCAGATAAGAAACAAAATGGTTCTTTTAGTCCTTTTCATCGTAGGTAAGTCTGCGGTGGCCAAATACAATCAGTGTGTATGTGGATGTATATGTATATGTGTGTGTGTGTGGGGGGAGATGGGGCAGGACTTCGAGCGGGGCAGCATCCAAAGGTGATAGAGTATGAGAAACAACAAACCCTTCCCGATGTGGACGACGTGAAGCCTGCAAGCAACCAAGCAGATTTCAAATCGGTGGCAGCAATGGTAGTGCTCAGAGTTGCGAGCGTTAGCAATTTTGTCGATGCAGGAGGATTCTGGGTTACTAGGCTGATGGATGCACACAACATCTACCTGGAGAAAATGACGGGCACCTACTTCATCTCGTTCGGTGTTCATGGCGATGCTGGAATGTCATGGGAAGTGACCCCTTTTGGGGATGGCAATGCTTTTTTCAGCCTTACAGCTTTGTCAGAGACCACCAACAAAGAGACCGCTATGCGCTTGCAGTTTTTTTGCACGCGCAACCTGTGGCACCCTGGGCAGAGGGACAATGAGGAGGAGTACGCAGGGGTTCCCACTCGAGTCTGTTTCTTGGATCTGTGTGTGTGTCCCTTTTGAGGCTCCAGTGGTCTGTTAACATGTTCCCTTTTCTGCTATAGATACTTAATGCACACTGGTTTCGAGAAAGACTTAACAACACAAGTAAGCCTTACTGGTAACCCCAAGTTGTCAGACAACTTCTGAACTAGACACTCGTTGAAGCCAAGACCTAGGTTTGCCTTGGGAAGTCCCTTCTGATTCAGAGGGTCGGGGCATCGTGCTACGACGAACTGGCGAGGATGAATCGCTGTTTCGATTTTGGGCGCGATTTGGGCAAGAAGCAGACAAAGCAAAACTGGGCGGGCTGTTGAAGATGCTGTTGCTGACTGCCGGTGTCAAGGTTGTCCCCTTCAACGAAAAAAAAGCTGGACTCAAATCCCAAATGTGTCTAGTCTTGGTGTTCAAAAAAGTGATGGTATGGTATGGATATTACTTGAACAAACATAATGATTCAACAAAAAACTGGGACGCGGGAGACCCACTGGAACTAAAACTTAATATTTGGCGCATTTGCAATGTTCATTGTATATCTACAGGTATACACAACACCCCAGCCAAGGCATTCGCTGATCACGCGCTACTTTCCGGAGCTTTCGGAAGAGGAAAGGAAACAACTGGTCTTGCAATGGTTTCCTGAAAAGGAGACCAGTGCAGCCAAAAAAAGAGTCTTCTCAGCTAGCTACTTGGGTGCAGTGTTAGGCCAGCTTGAAGGAGAGCAGGATGGTCGAGAATTTGAAGCCCTAAAGACACAGTTTGACGAGGAAAAGCGCATTGAATTCATAGTCTCGAGGGTTGGATGGTCGAGGTCAAAGGCAGCCCACTTTACTCCCAAGCGGGTGAAGGAATTGCGACCGCCGAACACGGTCTTGACCTGGCAACCTGCAAGCTACTCTTTCCAGGGGTATTTTCCCATCCCAGAAGCATTGCGCACAGGAGCAGCTGCGAAAGGCAAGGCCAAGGCAGATGCCAAGGGCAAAGCAAAGGCTAGAGCTAAAAGGGTGCAGACACATTGGGCAAGGTCACGAAATTACAAGGCCAAAAGGTCCAAGTTAGAGGCATTGACGTGGATAGTGGACTGGCTCTGGAAAACCCATGAACAGCACGGTGGTGTCGCTTCGGCTGTGCATTTTCTTGTCAGTCCTTTTATTTTCCCGAAGATGTGCGGTTTTGTTTTTCAAAGCTAAGCTCCAAAGGGGACATCCAAAAGATATGTTTTTTTTGGAATGATCAGTGATGTCAATGTCATAATGTGGACCAAATTGAGGATGTGAAGGACAAGCCGACCCGCGCGCAAATCGAAACAGCATTGATAGAGGGCAGCAAACCAGACGCTGAGATTGATGAGGAAGACGAAATCCCCGACAAGACATCCCCGACTACCAAAAAGAGAAAGGCAAGTGAATCAAATGAGGGTTCAAAGTCAGTCAAGAAGAGCAGAGGTGATGGCAGTTCCAATTCAGACAGTTCTACTGTTTCTTCCTCCTTGGAGAAGGACACCCAAGGTGACTTCTCAGTGGAAGACAAAAAGACAAGTTTGAAAACAACTCCAGCGAAAGCAGCTTCATCTTCGTCAGCTCCTAAAGGGAGTGGGCGAAGTCGAGGTGGTCGAGCAAGTGGTTCAGGGCGAGGAGGTCCGAAACCATTGGACACAAGTGGGGTAAAACCTCACATTCGCCCAGAAGTGTACAATGCTTTGATTAAGAAAAAATGACAACAGAACAAGAGACTCGACATCGCAAGACGCGAGAAAGAATGAGACTTGAGGTTGAGGTGGGACATGGTAGGACACTATGTTTGTGTGTGTGTATGTACGCGCAAATGCCAGCATTATTACTGACTCTTTACCTTAAAGTATGCGAACGGGACTTTTGAAAAATATCCCCAAAAATAATAACAATTAATAATAATAACAATAGATAATTAGGGGGCATAGGGGTCTGTTCGAAAGTCCTGTTCGAATTTTCTTAGAAATATAGTATTATTATTGTTATTATTATGATGATTAGTATTGATATGCACTTTTCATATGTTGCCATTTCAATCCAGTTCAACCGGATCTGGTGGTGCCTTTCCCAACCGTGTTATCTCGTCCATGATTTCATGGTGAGTCCCCCATGGTGAGTCCCCATAGATTTCGTTGTTAAACCATGGTAAAAGTCCATGGTAAAATGGCAAGAAATCCCAAGAAATCCCAAGAAATCCCCAACTTTCAGATTTGCGTTTGTTGAATTTGTTGAATCGATCTCAATGGATCCCAGCCATTTGAAAGTGGCTGAATTGCTGTACTTCATATTTGATGCTTAGTCCTCAAATGTTGGTAAATCTGGCTGGTTAAATCCCCAAAGTTCAACAAATTCATGGTTACCCTCTGGTTATTTAACATAGCCATGGGATATGGCCCATTTATAGATGGTTTACCTGGGTTTACCTATTAAAAATGGTGATTTTCCATGGCTATGTTAAATAACCAGATGGTAAATCATGTGAAATCCCCCCTAATTTTTGCTTGTGAAATCCCGAAATCTCCCAAAATCCCGTAGCGTTTGACGCGGCCGGGACCGCCGCCTTCGAAGGCTTCGCCTTCGCCTACGATCAGATCGGCATCGTGGAGGTGCGGCAGCGCAGCGTCTCCGTCCGCGTGGTGCGCTCCGGCGCCGTCCGGGACGCCGGACTTGGGGACTTGGGATGGGATGTTGGGATGTTGGGACATAGCCATGGTATAGATGGTCCATAGAAATAGATGGTTTACCGTTCTTAAGAATTGTGATTTTCCCATGGCTATGTTATATGTCAAATGGATATAATGTCAACCCTGGATTAATAAACCCCTCGGCTGTTTAGTTGGGAGGGTGCCATAATGTGCCATAAAAAAGTATCAGATTATGACTATTGGAGGAATACCCCCCTAATTAATAAACAATGGTTTATTAATCCGGGGTTGACATTACCTAATCAATCAACTTGATATGAAGTATGGTGGCATTGGGATATTTTTTTGGGGGGATTGTATTGATTTGATCTTGTTTTTTTGTTGTGTGTGTGTGTTATATATAGATAGTTCATCACCTCTATAACTAAGGTATACTAAGGTATACTAAGGTTATATATCATTATAGACGCATATAAACCAGAACGGAAGGGTGACGTTTGTGCTGGAAATTCAACAGCTGACCCAGCCCTCAGGTGGATGAGAACGCCAGTATCACATACCAGACGTGGGAAGCTCAGATGTCCTGCGCAAAACAAGGGGTACGACGTGGTGACTTCGTGGATTACGAAAGGTGTTTTGGGTATACAGAGTTTTGGGGTTTCATGGTCATCACTTTGAATGGAGGAAACACGTATATATATATACACACATACATACATATTATGATAATTATAATAATATATAATCATATCATATATACACGCTATAATCCTGCCAGTTTCAATGGAGGAAGGATTCATAATCCAAGCGGGGACGAGGCCCCCACTTCCCCAGGCGTGCCGGTCGGGCCAAGCGGGACGAGGACTACACACATGTGGAAGGCGTGCAATCTGAGGCTATCCCTGGAAAAACCAAAGAGGTAAGGCCTGATGTAACTAGAGTGCTTGACAACCACCCTTGGGCCCTTGTGGGGTGATGATGGAGACATCACAGATTGTTTGTGTAGCTGTGTAACTGTATGTAACTTTTAGAGTGATTTCCAAGAAATTTCAGAACTGATGTTCATCGGTTACATGGTTTATGGGTCATATTCGAGATGACATAACATTGATTTGGCCCTAGACATATACCCTCTGGTAAACTAACATGACTATGGAAAATCACCATTTTCAATGGGAAAATCCACTATAAATCACCATTTTCAATAATAGCTATGTAACAAATTACCAGAGGCTATAGATTTTAGAATCCAAGATGTCCACTCTAGCTCTGCCAGTTTTGGTGGCTTAAATCAGCACGTCACATAGTGACATAGTGTTATGTTCGATTGATGTTTTCACTCGGCACATCTCAGCACTGATGTTTTCAGCCACCAGTTATATATATATTATATAATTGGTGCGTCAGGGCCCAATGGTTTGAACTCTCGTTTGATTTGAGATTCAAGACTGTTTGTTTGTTCCATCCAAGAAACGGGACGATTCCAAGTGGAACCCCCCTGCTTTTGGTATGTGTTGAAACCGCCAATCACTGATCGATAGCTGGTATGGGATGGTATGGCTATATCAAGTCGACCTGTTGTGTGTTTATTTTCCTTCCCAAGAGGACAGCAAATTGATCCAATTGTGACAATCCCTGGGTCAGCTCGTTTGTGAACTCTGAGTAGGTTGATATCAAGGTATCCAAGGTCAAACAGCGATTAGGTCTGGTGGCATCCCCAGGATTCCAGCCCCGCTCAGCACAGGTGAACAATTGGTTGAATCACAATTCTGTTTAGGTGTCTTTCAGATATGTGCAAACAGTATGATACTATAATTATATACTGTATATATATATACTGTATATATATATATATATAATGTATATATATATATATATATACAGTATATATACTTTATATATACTGTATATATATATATACTGTATATATACACTGTATACATACTGTATGTATATATGCATACCGTATATAATATATAATATACAATTATAGTTCCCAATGATCAAATAAATCAATAAATAAGTATATATATATATATATATACATACCGCCAGTATGGTGCCCTGCGAGGTGTCCTGAAGTTTGGCCCTGGAGAGGAAACGAAGGCAGGGTCCGTGGTGAAGGCAGGATTTTTCTGGGGATACCCACAGTCATAGCCATGTTCCACGCGGAAAATATGGGACAATGAGGTCTTAATCCAGTGGAATTGGGGATTTTCCCTATTTTCAGGGCCAATTCTCATACTTCATGCTGAATTCAGTTATGTTCTTGTACCAGCAAAAAACAGCACAAACATGCCCCTTGAAGTTTCCTGTGCCAAATGGGAGGGCCGTGTAGCCTTTTTAGGGAGCATTTCGTACACCTTCCAGGGCATTGTTGTACACTTTTTTGGTTAATGTTTTTTGAAGGTTCTTCATTGTCATTTTGTAGACGCGGTTTTGCTTCAAGATGATTGGTGCATTATTGTTGGTCCACCCCATTTTGAACACCCCTCAAAAGGGGGTTGTGCGGCCTCATCTGGTACATATCCAAACCTTGATCCCCCCCAAAAAGAGAGGGGTGTACAGAATCAGAGCATTTTTGAAGTTGAACTTGTTCTGGGGATGTCACTATGTACAGAAATCATTCAGAAAGTTGTTCATGTGAGCTCTTTCTTTGCCTCGGGTTGGCCCCCCATGATTGTACTTAAAAACATGTTATAATACCTTGGGCCCCCCCCTACATGTAAGCTGTTTCTGTACCAAATGACACGACATTCTGTAGCTAAATTCCCAGTGGGATGCGCAAACAAGCGTTTAAGCAGCAAACGTGGGGACTTAGCCTGACTTAGCCAGGACACTGAGATCACTGAGATGTTGTTGGCTCTTAACCAAGGGGACAATACTTTGATTGTTCACTGGGGACTAGGGACTAGAACTTACTAGAGCAAGCAAACAAAAGGTAAATGACCATTTCACATGATTCATTGCTTTATTTGCTGAACGCATTAGGCAGTGTGTATTCGTATGTGTACTTACTGTATATGTATACATACATGTACATATGTTATATATATATATTCGTTGATGATATGCACCTACATGCTGAGAGACGAGGGAAATGCAGTGCCGAGAGCTCCGATTCATTTGACTTGGCTTCGCCCACTCCAAGTCTCTCCGCGCTGCGGCTGAAAAATGCTGCAAGAAATGCAGCTATAGATTGAAGAATTTAAGCGGTATCCGACAAGGAATGCCTACATATTATACATATTATACATATATACCATATATCACATATATACCATATATTATACATATATAGTGAGTATGTGAGTATGTGATGTTGGTACATATATAGTCATCTCGGGCCCAAAAACGGCATGTTTTAACAAACCCCACTAGGGCATTTTACCACGAAACATGGCAGTAGGAAATGACCCTGTTTACATGGTGACAATCTATCTATCCAAAGTTCAGTTCATGTCACTAGATAGATATTTCTATGAAGACACATGAAAACTATATATATACACATAAAGTGTGTGTGTATATATATATATGTTTTATGCATACATATGAAGACATATCGATCAATCGATAATATATATATATATATATACCATTTGTATGAAGTTCAGAGCAGTACCTACCTCGACGGCCTCAGTCGGTGCTCATCAACATCGCCAACAGCTTAGCCTTCGAGTCCAACGAGGTTTTTTTTGGGCGGAAGGGGTCAACGGCTGGGTCAACAAGAAAAATGGTGGATACACCACCCATATGCTCCATGGTGCTGGAATATTTACCAACATTTGCCCCCTAAATCACCCAAATGTAGGTAAATATACCATACATGGAGCATATGGGCCAGTTAACTACCATTTGAAAATAGGAAACATGCTGATCAACCATGAACAAATATGAGGTTAGCCTATGTGCAGACAAAGCCATTTCACTAAAGATGCAGTAGCGGTAGCGTACCCGAAAATGTCATGGTTTATCGGCTTATCATAGTCATAGTTGTTTATTAAAACTGGCCTCTTACGGGCATGCCCCACACCCATATAGATATACCCAATCGACTCAGGAATCTAGCCGGTTGGGCTTGTTTTATTTTCCAAATCAAGTCAAGTCACTAGAAATTGGGAATGAAGCAACGAGCGTTTCCTTTAGAGATAACAGAAAGGAACTAGGAACTGTTTAAAACGAACAAACAAGGGGTTTGGCCAGACAACAAACCAAGAACCAGTGGGGCTTTAACCACAAATAAATGATGAGATACCATTAAATTCCATTCACAACCCCTGAATGATGGCGTGGTCATTAGTCCCACCCCACTAACAACCCTTGCCCTCCCGACAAGAACCCAGAAAGAAAGACAACGCATTTTCTTGCAGGTTTTTGAAGGAGTGCTGTATGTATCTATGTCTTTGTACAGTTTGTTTTTGTTTTAGTGGTACATATATAGAGTTACAATGAGTTTAATATACTGTGTAATATCATAAAATAATAAATAATATATAGTTATAAATGGAGGTTTCCTGATGTGGGGGTACCCCTAAAGGCCCTAAATCATCCATCTGAATAGGACTTTCCATTACAAACCAACCAGTTATTGGGATCCGCCATGACTATGGAAACCCCCATCTATATACGGAGTATATGTACCAACAGTTACCAACATTCAATGGATTGCTTTAAGGGAAAATTTACAGGAAAGCCCTATATTGAACGGGAACATCGATGGTTTCCGGTGAAGATTTTCCCAAGAAAACCAATCCATTGAAACATGTATCAAGCGGATTGAACCGTGGGAGTCCACAGGAATTCTACTTGGACTTGATCGATGCCAAAACTTCCACAAAGGTGGCCTCTGCCACCTTAGTGATTCTCAGCAACGAGGACCCGTATACCGGAGCGGGTCACCGGGTCACCGTTTTTTTTTTTTTTGTGGGGGTACCAACAAATGCGATAACAAAAGATGTGGATTTATATTGATGTCCAGTAATGGGATATATTATGTTTATATATACATATCCAACTATATGAGGATATGGCATATTGTCCCATGAATTGAAGCAATGGAACTGGGAAAATCTGAGAAACGGACCTGGGGAATGCATAAAAAATAATAGAAACTAAAGATGTCAGTCAAAGCTTTCGGGTTGAACATGGACCCAGCCAGTATCCTGTGATAGTTTGTCGATTAATTATGCTTGTGGGTAAAACATGGTAAAACAATGTCATAAACCATCCCCCAGTCATCACCATAAAATAGGTGGTATACACCATTCCCAGTCATGGGTGGTTTATGGCATTGTTTTAATCACATTGATTCAGTTTTGCATATGTTGATGCGCAATCATGCAATTTTTGCATGTGACCTTGGAAGCAACAGCCAGATGGAGGTGTTGAATGACTTTCGGGCAACCGAAAACCAATGTGGTAGCGAATGCGGCGTTGGGAAATGAATTTGCCGTTGGACATGTCCATTTAATATCATATTATACCACCATATGAATACAGGGATTGGATCCCCATTTCAGCATGATATATCCATATACATTTATATAGTCATATCAAAAGAAGAACATCCTAAACATCCTTAAACTTCTAATATGATTCTATACTTGGAACATCACGAATCTTAAGTGTCACAAGCTATGATGATGACAAAGATACTTATATCTTATTATAAGTGTCATATACTATCATATAATTATTATTATGATGAGAAATTTTCCTTCAGTCACATCCGTCACAACGTTCTCTTTCCGTCACAGGAGGCAGGCTACATCCGCTTTGAGGACGAGAATCTCACCACCGTCGAAGAGTTCCAGGAGTCCGTCGATGTTGTTCAGTTGACAAAAAAAAAGTGGCTGAATTCTACGGTTCATGGCTTTATAAAACAAGAAACATAACTTGGTAGAACTTGATATACAAGCGCTAGCGTTAAGTCGTATCAGCTTGTAAAAGTCGTATCAGGAGGCCGTGCGCCTGGAAAAAGTTCAAGTTTGGCATCACCACAACTTTTGGTAATTGAACGATTTCTTCGTTTTGGGGCCGTGCGCATGGAAAAAGTTCAATTTTTGTATTGCGTTGATTTTTATTTTTAAAACTTGTATTTGATTATTCTTTCAAGGGGGCAAACGCTGGTTGCTGCTTGCCTGCTGCTTGCCTGCTGTTTGCTGCTGCTTGCTGCTGCTTGCTGCTGCTTGCTGCTGCTTGCTGCTGCTTGCTGCTGCTTTGCTGCTGCTTGCTGCTGCTTGCTGCTGCCTACCTGCTGCTGCTACCTGCTGATGTTTTAGTAAGCAACAAACATAACTGGGCACCATCCTGTACTGAAAAGGTGCCAAATAAACCAGTCTCAACGGATATATTGGAGATATTCAGAGACAGAATTGGACATGCAGCGTTGTGTTAACAACCAGTTGCCGGGTTGAACCATCAATGATGATCATACATATTCAATGGTGCTTTGAAGAACTATCAACCATTATTTATTTGCAAGGATTGCTAATCAGCGAAAATATGGACATTTGATAATACATGATGGGTTCATGATTGTAGGCGTTCATGATCATCTAAGTCAGAAGAGAAAGAATCAGTTCACCGAAGCATTCCAATGAATTGCGGAAATCTATGACATTTTTATGCAATTTCCCAGGAGGGGTCAGAATCGACTCAGATTAAAATGCTTGACTTCATAAATTATCCCAGCAGAGCTTCACACGAACTGAACGCTCTGGAAATGGGAAAGGTGTTTGGTGCCTCTGGTGCTGTGGATTGGAATCAAATTCTGTGCCCAAAGGGCCCAAGTGTTTTCCCACAAATATGCTATCCATTTATGGGAATCATATCCATTTATGGGATTTTATACCCTAGACTTCTGGGAATCTCTTTGCAAATTGTCTCAAACTGGATTTCTTCCCATACACAATTGTAGCTCTCTAAAACACGTGGCGCACAACCTGAAATCCAACCATGGTCAAAATATTAGGCGGAAACACACCAGATAGTTTGGGGTGGCCAAACCATCGCAGATGTTTGGATGATAGAGGATAGTAGCGCAGTTCAGAAAAGGATAGTGAGAGGCAAAGAGCTTGAAAATCCGCGATGACCAGTTGTTGTAATTAACACCATTTCATGTTGGACAGCTTTACATGTTAGGAATCTCTAAAAAGGAAGAAACCGAATCCAGGATGTTACAGATGATGTTTCCCCGCATTATTTCCAGGTCTTCATTTGTTCTACTTATTGGGGTTTTGCTATTGGTTACCTACTTGGGGATGGGTCAAAAGCTTTGGTACCAGATTTTGCAGGGATGCATTAACCTGCTATTTTGTTGTGAACAGGGTACGATTTGACCCTATAACCGCAAACCTCGTTTAACCCACCACATGATGGTTTCTTTTTTTCATTGGGGTGATGGTATTGACATGCATTGACCTTTGATGACTTTATGACTTGTATATTTTTGGGATGTGCACTCACCAGAAACATTTGTTTGGCCATTTGGATATAGGTCGATTGATATTAATTATTTATATTACAACATTACTTTTGGTGTCAATCGCCATTTTTGAGGCGTTCCCACCAAGATTGAACCACATATGTTCGCCACAGTTCCTGTTGGCTTTGCCATATATACTACATATTATTTCCATCATACATTATATCGCTGATATATCTAGACCCTCAACAAAAAACAGAAAACTGGAGAGTGTTACCGTAATGCTACTCATTCTTTTCTGCTGTTTTTACCCATTTTTCCCGATGGTTTTTGCCAAAAGGGCAGGGTTGCAGCTCACCAATGCGCCAGGAAAAGATCCTGGATGTTCCGGTCATTCGGAGGGACGGTGCCGCTGGCAAGGCCGACCTGGATGATCTGGATGGGTGAACCACGGGATGGAGTAGGATATAGCTGGATATAACCTGGATAATGATGGATATAACTGGATTTACCCTCTGGTTATGACTAACATAGCCATGGGATTTCGATGGCCCATAGAAATAGATGGTTTACCGAACTGAAAAATGGGTGGATTTTCCATGGATATGTTAAATAACCACATGGTAAGCATACGAAGATACATGAAGCATATGTAGATTCAATGAATCACATGAATCACATGAATAGTGCTTTTCTATCTAAGGGCATCAACTTAGAAGTGGCAGTGTGGGATTGACCCTTTAATTCAGAACTGTCATTTTCTGGTGAATTCTAGGATGGGCTATGACTGTGACATTGGGTTTACCACATAGTGTGTTTTGTCGTATTTCGTCCTTTGGGCGTGAGTTGAGTGATGCTCCAGCCGTGGCATCTAGGACCATGTCTTTTGAAGTGAGCATCAACTGGGGAGATTCGAATCCTATAGATTATAGGTACCCATATTACATCCGCATATTTCCCTACATGATTGGGTCATTCTTGGTGGGAGATGTTGGAACAGCTGTTGCCAAACCACGCAATGTATACACTGATTGACCGTTATTTATCCATATGTGAAGTTGACATCTAACAAATTACCAATATGTGCTCTTCTTTACCCGTACTATTCATTTACCCATATATTCAGTATTTTACCCATACTAATCATCATTTACCCATATATTCAGTATTTTACGCATACTAATCATCATTTACCTATATATTCAGTATTTTACCCATACTAATCATCAGTTACCCGTATATAAATATATATACACGAATATATACATATATATATGGTACACACACAAGATCAGTGGTACTAAGTTTGTAATAGTGATGAGTTATGTCTTGGATATGAGTCAACCATACCACACAATATCTTTGAGAAATCTTACGCACACAAAACAAGTTATTTTAATTAGGTTTTGGAATTTGTGGTGGTGCCATATAGATTTGGACATGAGGGAATGCCATACACTATACATATATATATACAGTATCGTTGTTAGGGATTGCTAGTCTAGCTACTTAAGTGTCTCTTGCTTTTGGGGAAGAATGCATTCTGCATGCCAAGAATGCATTCTCCCCCAAAACCAAGAAAGCAAGAACCAAGATTCCACCATACTCTTGGATTCAAACTTTGTTTTTTGTTCTTGGTGCACACATGCAAGGGATAGATGGGAACATCAATATCTTTGAGAAATAATACACACAAAAAACACTTGATTTCAATTGGGTTTTGGAATTTGTGGTGGTGCCATATAGATTTGGACATGAGGGAATGCCATACACTATACATATTTAGTATCGTTGTTAGGGGTTGCTACTCTAGCTACTTAAGTGTCTCTTGCTTTTGGGGAAGAATGCATTCTGCATGCCAAGAATGCATTCTCCCCCAAAACCAAGAAAGCAAGAACCAAGATTCCACCATACTCTTGGATTCAATTTTGGTTTTCAGTTCTTGTTGCACACATGCAAGGGATAGATGGGAACATGATTCGAAAACCAAGATTGAATCCAAGAGTATGGTGGAATCTTGGTTCTTGCTTTCTTGGTTTTGGGGGAGAATGCATTCTTGGCATGCAGAATGCATTATTCCCCAAAAGCAAGAGACACTTAAGTAGCTAGAGTAGCAACCCCTAACAACGATACTAAATATGTATAGTGTATGGCATTCCCTCATGTCCAAATCTATATGGCACCACCACAAATTCCAAAACCCAATTGAAATCAAGTGTTTTTTGTGTGTATTATTTCTCAAAGATATTGATGTTCCCATCTATCCCTTGCATGTGTGCACCAAGAGCTAATAAGAAATATATAAACTATGGTTATTTTTTCTATTATATACCACATCACTTTGCAATACCTTTGGTGTATATATATATATAACATTATTGTCGTAATAGTTTTCTAAAATTGCAGCATATATTCTTTCTTTGGCAACCCCGGTACCGTTGAATGTGTGTACAAAATCCTTGTGATTATTTGATTAACTAACATATTTAGCTTTTAATCTTCGAGCTTGAAAAGTACCGCATTGAGAACAACTAGAAAATTCATTTTTTTTTTGTCCAGGCATCAATACCTCTATATCACATTTTTTTGGGAGGAAAAGGGTGTGCCAATAGAGCAAAGTAATAATACTCTGTAAGACAATTCAAGTTTTTTTTTTTTTATATGGTTTCTGCAGCATGCAAAATTAACTCATGCCCCCTTTGTGACTGATTCGGTGTGCAAATGCTAACTAACTCTACCTTGGAGAATTGGTGCAGTCTAATAAAACCTCTAGTATGTCTACCTGCACTACCTGCTTCAGATCTAAAACAATATGTCGCATCAGTGTATCTAATAGGCAATTCACCTTCAGTATGTTTTTTTCCTGCTTCTAGATTTACTAAAGGAACCTCAGATGTTGGAATCAGTCTAGTGCCAGTATCCATCACAAAGGATGCATCACTAAATTTAGGCCATTGACCTGAATTATACATTGCTTGAGATTGATCAATTAAAGGAGGGCTAACTTCTTCAAAACCAAAATCTGAAATATGAGTATCAAGCATAAAGTTTATTAATGCACGTGACATTTTAGATAAATGATATTTAAATTTCATTTGTAATGCAGTATCTAAAATGATTTTTTTTTTTAACGTATAGTGTTTGATTAACTTATTATCTTGTTCAGACATACCAACAGGCACATCTTCCGATAACATGTTTGGTATATTATCTAAAATTTTGGATAAGTTAGCTTTTAACTTATTATATTGTGACAAATATTGTGAATATGTTTGATATAATCTATCTGACTCTAATTCATGGGCTATTTTGTCAAAATTATTAGTTGTTGTTTTTTGCTATGTGTTTTTTCTCTGTTTAGATTATCTAGTAATAATTTGTAGCGATTGACATCGCTATACAAATGCATTATTTCTTGTGCTTTTATACAATTGCTTTGCCTGTTTATTATATTTAAATCAAATGTGGTTTGCTTTTTTTCAAGCCATTTCATATCTATCATAAACGTTACTGTAATTGATTTTGAAAATAATTTATAGGCCTAGACAATATTCCACGATTGTTTGTTTTTACAAACTATAGTTATAAACTTAATATTTGTCTCATTATAAAGCAAAAATCAAAATAGTACTTGATAAATTTGAATAAATTACAGATACTATAGTTGGGCGACTGGCACAGTTGGTAGCGCATCTAATTCCACATCCTCTGGCAGCTCTTGTCCATGCCTCTTGCCTTCAAAACCATCTCACCAAATTCATCACCTGGTTCTCATCCACGTCTGTTCAAGCAATGGTAAATCTGAATCACCGTTCTTGGAGGGGTGTAGCATATATATATATATATACATATACGTATATACACACATATTTGTGTATATTGCATATATTACATATCATTATATACATACAGCAATATTGACTAGTATTTTTCAAGATAGTTAAAACCACCAACCAGATATACACAATATATATATATGTACATATATATATATATATATACATTATAAGTATGTTTCCAGCAACGTTTAGCCCAGTCGGACCGGACCGGACTCTTTCGTCGCCAGGTCACCTGCGAATGGCGAACTGAGGACAATACCGCCAAGGCAGCGAAGTTGGTTAATGTTGGTTAATGGGAATGTCTTAGTGTATATATATATGGTTAATCATGGTTCATCATGGGGAATAATTATAATGGTTAATAATGGTCAATAATGGTTAATAATGGTTAATAATTATAATGGTTCATAATGGTTAATCATGGTTAATAATGGTTAATAAGGCATTAAAAAACATAGTTAATAGGTGATTATGGGGATTATACTATCTGGTTTAATGGGGATTATAATAAACCATAATAGGGATAACTATTAACCAACCAGTATAATGGAATGGGATAATGGTTAATGTTGGTTAATAACGGTCAATGTTGGTTGATGTTGGTTAATAGTGGTTATTTATGGTTTTATGGTGATGAATGGTGATGAATGGTGATGAACGGTAATGTGGGTAAAACAATGCCATAAACCACCCATGACTGGGAATAGTTTATACCACCTATGTATGGTGATGACTGGGAGATGGTTTATTAGTGTTTTCCCCACATTAGTCAATATGTTGAAATCCCTTCCAACAAGTATTCAAAATCAAAAAAAAAAAAAACATCAGATCTGAGAAAAAAAACAGAAGTCTAGAGCGTCTAGGAACTGTTCAGCCATTTCCATGGGCAAAAAATATGAGGATCCCAGGGTCGAAATGAAATCCCATTGCCCAGGCTTCGACGCACTATGTGGCGGGCAAAGGTGTCTTAGAGCCCGAAACCCTGGGGAGTCCCAGGACAGGGGCATGGCAGATACCCTGAGGTATCCAGCGAGTCGTTCGTAACCATGTTTTTTAACCTATTTCTGAGGATATCCCAAGAACGAACTGATGGTACACATCCAAGTAAACTAGGATTGATTTGGACAATTACATAAATTTATTGTATATGTTATATGATGTTATATGTTGATATACAGGAAGGTAGAACCCAGCGGAGATATATGATATAGACAAATATACAGTACATATACATGCATTGGGGGTTGTAACGGGTTTGTATATAATATAGTCTATGTGTCATGTGTTTTTGTTGGTGATTCCGTGCTGGATTCATTTTTTTCCTTGGGATATAACTCAATAGCCAACGCCAATGGGAGTATCAACCAACAATAATTGAGCATTTTATTAACCAACAATTATAGGCACATAACATCGTCAGATAATATCGTATCATATGACCCAATCTGACCTCCGGAGAATGATGTGTGACTGGATCGTTTTTTTTTCCCTTGCCTTGAACGAAGTGATCTTTTTGTTATCCCACCACTTTTGTATATCTTAGGCCAGCCATGTGTTTCTGGATGTACGCTGGTTTCTCTGGAGTCCGTGACAGTCTGGGGGAAAACGCTTCTCGCAGAAGATGGGTATGGCTGAAAATTGGATACCCCAATTAATGGATCGTTAAAAGCACGCTAAACAAACATGAAAAAAACACATCTTCATCTACAGATGCCCATATGCTCCCTGGTGCTGCAATATTTACCAACATTTCCCCTAAAAATCACCCAAATGTAGGTAAATATACCATACATGGAGCATATGGGATGCCACGGCCATCAGTCGATCCGACTCGAGGTTTGAACATGGTCAGATGGTGACGACCATTCCACTGACAATTTTGCCAGCGGGTCGATGCCAGTACCCTCCTTAGTTGGGGGCGAATTGGATCAAAATTGGGTACCACTCAAATTGGATGGTTCGAGCAAGAAGTGACCAACGTGTGCGGTCCAGTCAGTCTTCCTTTTTTGAGGGAAAGATAACACATGATAACACCCCATAGACCTTAAACATCCTATAATTGTGTCAATTGTTCAAAGGATATCTCCTTCCACTTTGGTTGAGCCATTGCTGACACATTTTTTCTGGGCTGCCTATGGCCTATATGGCTGCCTGATTTCTTTTTAGCCCCAACTCCCTGTATTCCTCGAGGCTTAGAAGTACTGTCCGAATAGTAATCTTCAACATCACGGGAGCCAAGTTCGACCCCAACACCGAAGGCAAGTTGGATCGGCCGGTGGTTTTGATGCTGGAGATCAACTTGTCGTCAAAAACATGTGTGTACATATTTGATAGTATAATTAGTGAGGACTAGCAAATATGAACATGTTGTGAGATGTTTAAGTTATTGACCTAAAAAGTGATATTCACAATTTAAAACAGATGTTCACCATTTTGATTGTATACCTTCTGGTAATTAAAATCACCCTTTTTGATGGGTAAATCAACTAACTATTCGATGGGCCATGTTCCATGGCTATGTCAGTTTTCATCCCAAGTAGATATCATATACATGTAAGTATCTATATCCCTATATATATATATATATGTATTATATATGTAGTTAGTCATTTTTATCCCCATTTTATGCCCCCAATTATAGTTGGTCATTCCCCATTCTTTCACTGTTCAACAGGTTGGTTACATCCCCAGGATCAACAGGTTTTCCCAGTCATACCCCCACCATGTTTTCCCATCCCCCAAGATTGCGAGGGATGGGTAAATATATGTAAATATCATCCCCAAATGGTAGGTTCTTGTTATTGGGTGTTACCTCATTACCAATAATATCATCCCAACTATGTATGTATATATTTATATATTTATTTATTTATTTATTGAGCAGTATTAACCAGTATTAACCAGTATTACGCATTATATAACTATTATTAACATGTGTTAACCATCATTAACCATTATTCACCAGTATTAACCAGTATAATCCATTATTATGTTAGGTAACCATTATTAACAGTTATTAACCATTATTAACCATTATTATCCATTATCAAAGCCACATTACCAGTAAACATTAGACAGATGGTGCAAGTGTTGCCAAATATGTAGTCCTCTTGGGCTCTTTTTGAGCGAGGCTGTCACCCTTGAGAAATTCCCCCAGTTCTAACGACGACAAAAACCTGGCAACGGGATGTACCCATTGTTCTACTGCGGATATCAATATATATATATATACAAACACACAATTATTTACGCATGTCTATTAATATATATATATATATGCATAAATGGTTTAAGATAAAATATAGTAAACAGTAATATAAAGCATAATTACATAATATAATATATTATAATATATGTGTGTACATATGCAATGTTTATTGTGCATAGACATATACCATGTGCACACGAATAGGAAATAACGTCTATTTCCCATGGCCAGGTTCATAGCTGGCCCGATTCTGACTGTCGTTTTTTCGGTGCAGGTGGCAAGGAGTTTTGCGTGGCAAACGTGGTGATAGAACCGGATCCAGACATTCAGGAGATCGCTGGTCTTGTGAAGTCGTCTTGAGGTCTTGAGAAAAGTGAACCCTCAAGCCTCAAGATTCAAAAAATGAGACATTTAAGTTCCATTATCAACCATTATTAACCATTATAAACCATTATAAACCATTATAAACCAGACCATTATTAACCATTATTGACCATATGAACCATTATAAACCATGATACATTTAAAGATGTTAAAGATGAAGTCCGAGCTCAGGGTCGTTGTCATCAATATCACTACCATCGTGATGGTCCTCCTTGTCCTTCTCATTATGGTAGTAACTATAAGGATAACATTAAAATGACACAAGATACAAAAATATCCATACAATAATCATCAGCATCATCCGATGAACCCAAAACTCCACAATGATTGAGCTTGGACAGCTTGGACTTTTTTCTTGGTGAAGTCATGTAGTACTCACCAGCATTAACTAAGCATCAACCAGCATCCACCATCCATATTCAACGTCATCACCGCAGGAGCGAATCCTTCGAATTCACAGCGTGCTCGCTGTGAATTGGGCCAAAGCTCATACCGCGCGGCAAGAGACTCAAAAAAGAAATCATGAACAAAAAACAACTGAAGCTCATGAGGGAAACCAAGAATTGTAATATTTTCTTTCAGTGTTTTATTCTATCACAATCTTTTGCCACACCTTAAGCATAGCATTTCTTGAAGCGTCAGGTCAAATTGGACTGCATGGAAGGAGCAGATCATGGATTCGATCAAGCTCAAAGTGGGGCTCCCAGCGATGGCCTGCGGATCGATCCCCTGTGCTCCACCAGTTTTCGCAAGAAAGTGATGGGTGGTTTTTTGGAACTCTCCAGATTGTAGATACCAAAAATACAGGATTTCCATCAAATAAATACCCTCTGGTAAACATACAAAAAGCTATTGAAAATGGCCATAGAAATAGTGGATTTTCCCAGCTACAAAATGGTGGATCTTTCTATAGCTATGTTAAATTACCAGAGGGTATGTGTTATACATTTAAGGTAGTTGAATGGATAGAAATATCTATAGATGATGGACCAGGTCCATCTTGGCGAATCAAATTATTGGCCTGCCTAAAACTCTGCATTCATCAGCTGGCCTCAGGACGATGAAGAGGATGAGGAGGAAGAGAGGCTCCTTTTTTGGGCTACCCCAAAGCAGTGCTTTTCTCCACAGAATTTCAGTGTGGATATTTTGTTTTAAGCGTGACCCCCATTTTGGGAATCCATAATTGTCCATATGGGTCTGAAATATAGTGTTGATGGGAAAAAAGATGATACACCACCAGTAGATGTTTGTCGTTTTTCCCAAAAGTTTTGGACAAACATCTTGTTCACAGGGGGATTGGATGCCGTTTGCACGTTCAATGTGACGTTACCATCCCCCTTCAATTTGCGCGCATCTAAGTAGCTGCTGTCTTAGTCTTGAACGAACTGCTGGGCAGCCATGTTCGCCAGTTGCTGAAGTAGACTAAGTAGAGCTCAAGAATGATTCTGATGCTGGAAAATATCTGGATGGTATATCAATGGTATATCAATTATTGATTAATCAATGGTAATGTGGAAAAAAAACATTGATCATTGTGGTAAACCCAATATGGATCGAAATATTGGTATGGTGCTTCCATTTTGCCTTAGGCTGGGATCCTGGGTGGCCCTGCCATGGCAGGAATGGTTGTTTTGAATGCCTCTCCATGATCTCCACTGCCGTTGGGGAGCCCAGGAGATAATTTTCTGAGGGCCTAAGCGCAGGGGTTCACCATACTTAACCCTTAGCCGCCCCTAGCCCTCCAATATTTCGACGATTTTATGTGAGTTTTCTAGCATGTATGGCATAGGAGCTGCAGACCATGCCATCGGAACGTTGATCTTCATCGTTGACTTGCCACTCCCATTTTATCTATTGATTTTGATAGTTCATGATAAAATTCTAATTTTGGATGATCAACACATCAAGATCATCAACATTGCAGATATGCAAGAGATGGATGTAGATATTTTATGTTTGTATAAAATTGCATTAATCTCTACCAATATACCCTCTGGTAAACTAACATAGCTATTGAAAATGACCATTTATAGTGGATTTTCCCATTAATAGCATGGTGGATCTTTCCATAGTTATGTCACAGTTGACCAGAGGGTAGTTCCATAGGATCCATGTATGCCAGAAATGGTAACATGGATCCCATCAATATACCCCCTTTTTGTTAGCATATATACCAGCACCATGGATCCTAGGGATATAGCAATCCCATTTTAGAAACGGTACCATCTATAATAAACATCTATTATTGTTTTACCAACATTATTCATCTGGTTGGTGGTTGACCTACCCCTCTGAAAATATTAGTCAGCTGGGATTGGGATGAAATATATTTTACTTCTCCATCGCTCAGCTCTTGGTGGTCCCCTGGAAGATCGTCTTTTCGTGTGGCGGCCCGGGGCGGGCAGCTATGGGATGTCATGTGTATATGACGGATAATGGATATATAATGATATATATATGTAATGATTTATATATACATATATATATATATACATATATCATATGTATATGTATATAACATATGTGTATGTATATAACATATGTATATGTATGCATATATATGTATATATATAACATATGTACATGTATATATATATATACATAACGTGTATATATATGTGATATTATATACATATATACTTATATATGTATATGTATACATTAGGTTTCCTAAAATCGGGGGTACCCCCAAAAAATGGTCTATTTTGTTTTAATGAATTGGGCATATTTGGGGCACATCTACTTTAGGACCCCCCATATGTATAGTGGGTACCCTCCAGTAGACTAACATACCTATGAAAAATCACAATGTTTAATAGGACAATAGGTAAATAATCTATTCTTCCATGGCTACTTTAGTTTACCAGAGGGGAAATGTCAGTATTAACCATTGATCTGCATGATGGGAAGATCAATCAAAATCTACAGGATGGCCCCCTCCAATTATAAGTTGGTTTATAAACCATTATAACGCCCATTTATAGTTATATCTACCATAAACCATAGTTAAGCCACTTATAAGGCAACTGAACGCTATCTTGGGGGCCCCATCCTGTATGACACACCACATTTTGGGGGAAGGATGCCAGGGTTTGCTGATGCTTCCAGCTGGGATCTGAGGTGTATCCCTCCTCCGGGATTTTGCGACGGATGGCTATGTTTCGTGGGCTCCCTGATGGGCATCGGCCGGGGCTCCCAAGGGCCCCCAGGGCCCCCAGGGCCCCCAGTCATCCGACCCTTCCGGAGGGACTTGGGAGTTGATAGTAGAAGGTCCCCTGGAAGAAAGCCTGACGATTCAGGGGGTTGCCCCAAAAATGGTGATAGATGATTGTTAAAATGGCTATCCTCCCTATGAAAACACGTTTTTTTCTCATGGATTAACGTTGATGGAGGTCTACCAGTGTCCCTTTGTTCGGTTCAGGACGTCGGGGCTCGCCATGTGAGATACTATTGTATAATTATATATATATACACATACATATATATATATATACATATTTATATTATGCACTATGGCATGCTGTGGCACATGGCATACCTACATTCGGACCATAGCAAAACAGGATGGATCCGTTGTTGGACCATTGCCCATCTGAGGTGCGCTCACTGCAGTCGTAGGGGATTTAGCAGCTCTTTTGGGGTCTCTTGGCTCGACACTGCCGGTGGAAAATCGTGGGGTGGAGTGGATTACCCACATGCTCCATGTATGGAATATTTACCAACATTTCCCCTAAAAATCACCCAAATGTAGGAAAATATATCATACATGGAGCATATGGATTACTAGGATCCAGTTTGTTAAACAGCACTCATTTCGTCATTTAGCAAGTGAAGATGGATTCACGGGGTGCACTTGCTTTTGTACGCCGAATATAGGAGCCTGCAGAGCAACAGAAGATGTTGCAGTGGTCAGGAGGAATTGTTTCTAGAATATACATGAATATACAGTATATTTATAATAGTTTCTAATTATATAATTATATATATATATTATACATAGGTGTGTCTCACAGTGTGTGTGTGTGTGTGTGTTTGTCTCAGTTTCTGTTTTTGGTGCGTTTCCGACTTTTTACCCAAATGATTTTCTCTGAAAGATGACTCAAAATGGGAACGTCTACGCTGCGAAAGGTGCGTGCTCGAAATCGGCAGTGCCATCACCGCCATCACCTTGGTGGCGCTTGGCACGTCCCTACCCGACACTTGGCGTCTCTATGGCCCGTGGCTGAGTGAAGAAACACGGGGGACATGCGTAGAGATGTGTATTGGTCTATATATTTTTGGTTATAATTTTAATAATTATGGTTAGTTATGGTTGTTTATGATGTTTATAGTTGTTTATGGCTGTTTATATGGTGCTCCAGGGCACGTTTGTAAAATACGTTCCAATGGGCCAAACAATGTGTAGTTGCAAGCCACATGGCATGGGTGTTAACAATGGTGTTGATCCCTCCTCTTGTTTGATCTTCATCATCTAGATCCAATCTCTTGTGGTTGTGGTATTCCACTATGTCAAGTCCTGCAATCAGCTTTCACGACCCCCTTCATTTCGGTCTTGGCTGCATATCTGCCATACCAAATATACCAAATGCTATTGGAGCTGTTGGGATTGTGGGTTCTTCCCCACCTAGCTATGGGAGTCCAATTGAGCTGCCCAGCTGCCCAGCCGTGAACTCGATGGTGCCAGGATACCTTCGCCTCTAGAACTGCAGCAGTGCAGGATGGGGGGGGTCTGGAAGAGCTCGGATCCCTAATAATGACTGAGTCAGTCGAAATGGGCACAAAATCACGCATGATAGGACCTGATAGGAGGAGGAAAAGGTGGAGAGGACAAATAGGCAAAAAATCGGGGATTTGAGCAACAAAACTGTGAGGCTTTGCAGTAGCCACCGAGGATCATAAACCCAACATGATTGGAAGGGGCGTTTGAACGCCAGGCCACTGACACTTCATGCTCTAAACTATTAATGCCCATGGATCGCTTCTTGTTATGTTATGAAAGCAGCAGTTGGTGGATGATTTTCAGGGTGCTTCGCTTTGCATTGCTTGTTACAAGACGATACCAATTCACCGAACATGATGATGTGATGCGTATATAGCTGAGTACTACTGAATATATATATATATATAGAGAGATAGATAAATAGTGTACTGTATCTTGTTTTATCTTATAACTATTTTATATGGAATCAATTAAATAATATAACTTATATTATATTAAACTATATTCTATTCTATTCTATTCTATTATATTATATTATATTATATCATACATGATTTAAATATGACATTCATGCTTCTTAAAATTGTTGCCCCTACCCCTTGAATCATCCCTTGCCTCGAGGACCCAACGGCGGACGCGTCTGTGGGGAATGTCACAGGCAGGGCGGCCCGGGCTAGGGCCCTAGGGCGGTTCCCCTGGTTGATGGGGATCCCATAGTGATTTTATTTATGGGGAGTTCATAGGGATTGTCATCTAATGTTACCCTCCGGAAAACATACATATAGCTATTGAAGCCATGGCCATTGAAATAGTGGATTTACCCAGCTACAAAATAGTGATGTTCCATAGTTATGTAACCGTTTACCAGAGGGTATGATATGTTATAGGACCAACTCAACATGGGATTATCATGGGACCATGATATCAGATATACCTTCTGGTCTGGTCAAGTTTGCTATGGAACATAGCTCATAGAAATAGACGATTTACCTGTTGAAGACGACCTTTTTTTTGATAGCTTTGTCAAATTACCATAGGCTAGCCCAACAATCAGGCCTTTTTTAACTTCCCCATAGATTTATAAAACCAGTGTTGATTGGTAATGCAGATTTAACCATCATTGTAAGGGATTGAGGGTTGCAACCTTATAACTGATGGTTGATTGTTACGGGGTTGTTTTACCTGGCTGGTTTTTTGGGGGTTTATGAATTGTAGCCCACACATTGGGGATACCTATCAACCAGTATAACGGATAACGGGATGGCTCATCATATGATTTGATGGGGATATTTATGATGGGAATTTGTTGATATTTTGTTCCATGGCCATGAACCGGACAATGATGGTAGGCTGCATCTATGTGCACCATATATATATATATATACATCGGAGGTTTTCCATATTACATACATAGTGCACATTTGTGCAGCAGACATGTATATATATATACATATGCGTATATACAGTAGATGCAGAATATTGTACAATCTATCAATCTATAATGCAACAGACAATACATGTATATGTACTGATTTTATGTAGCATTCGATGCTATGTTTATTATATATATGTCAACCTATATGATGCTATATGCTAGATATGATTCTTATTCATGGGACCTTCACCCGTTTGTTTGGGTCTGTTTGGCCATTTGTTTTGGTGACACAAAATGAAATGCTGGTAATGAAACGAACGGTGTCCAGCTTCATGGTTGTTCAAGTTCCATGTGCTAGGACCAAGACAGGCCATTACAATGGGGCGGTCAGACGGGCAAGTCCAACTTTCTTTTGCTGCTACTTCTGCTACGTCGACTATAAGAACTGCGCATCTTTTTCTCCAGATGTCACTGCTAATTAATATATATCAATTTGCCAAAAAGAGCACTACGAAATTACGAAAACATTCCTTCGATGTTTACTCTACAACAAAAAAAACTCAAACCACATCGAACCACTACGTAACAAATCTTTCTTCGGCTCTCTCCGTTAACTGGTCACCCGCAGGCAGCAATTCGGTGAACGTCTTCCTGGGCCTTGGTCTTCCCTGGACCTTGGGCGTCCGGACGCCCTGGTAGCCCCTGGTTTCTGCGGGATCACCAAAAAGGGTTTCTGCTTGGGGTTCCAAGCAGTGGAACCTGTCCTTGTTTATTGATGTTTATGGTGGTTTCTTTAAAATAATATACCTAACCTTTAATTGATCATAGTTCATCTTATGGTTTAAGATGGTTTTTTATCGTACCCACAGTTTGAATCAGTTTGATCCTTGATTACCTCTATGTGCCCGTTGTTGGTTACCAAACATGTTCATGACGAGAATCGTGTGATGATCCTCCACGCATACCAGCGGAAGTCATGATAGCAATTATCCCAGTATTCGAGACATTCAAACATCATCAAACCATATATTATATCACCATCTTTAGAGAAACACCAGTATGATAGTGATATGTTCAGATACTTTAAGGAATGAATCATCTACAATATAGTCAAGATATTCAAAGTATATGCATCATATGTTTTGACTAAATGATCCTATGATGATCCTTGTTTGTTCAGCAATTCAAGGATCTGAATAATAGGCCAGGTACCATCATAGGTACTAAAAGGTAATTGTCCTTGTACTTGATCATAGGTAGTGAAATTTTCCCGGTGCCTATTCAGTACCGATGATCATAGTAAAACAAATCCACCTATAGTTAAGATGTTCCAAGTACATCATATTATGTATATATATATATATCCCATGATGATATAGTTAAGATATTCCAAGTACATCCCAAGAAATATGATATATCATATATATATCATATGTTGGATATCTATATCCCATATATATATATATATCATAGTAAAAAATGATCCCATGATGATCCCACCGCTGCATCAAGGCGCTGTATTGGACCATCGGTGGTGCCGATCCCATCTGGTTGGCCAGATATCAGGACTGCCGGTTGCGCGGACTGCCGCGGAGCGCCGCGTTGCGCACGCACTGGGCCACTGTCATGGTGATATTGCTTTGGATATGATATTACCGATTATTAATAATAACAATAATAATAATAACAATAATAATATATATATATATATATACAGGTGTATATATGCACCAGGCCCTGCCACCCCCCCCCTCCCCCCATATGGGATGGGTCCCATATACTGGTCCCATATGAGATCTTCCCCCTCCCCCCCCTGTGGTGTGGTGGGGGTGTGGCACTGTCCCCCTCCCCCCCCTGTGGTGTGGTGGATGGGTCCCATATACTGGTCCCATATGAGATCTTCCCCCTCCCCCCCCTGTGGTGTGGTGGGGGTGTGGCACTGTCCCCCTCCCCCCCCTGTGGTGTGGTGGGGGTGTGGTATGGTATGGTGGGTATGTATGGTGTGTATGGTCGGTCTGGTATGGCATGTTTGGAAAGTATGGTATGTTTGGTATGTATGGTAGGTATGGTATGTATGGCATGAGTGGTTGGTATTGTATGGATGGTAGGTATGGTATGTAAGTCTGTTGGATATGGTATGTTTGATATGACAGTATGTATGGTCTGTATGGTATGTATGGTTACTATGATGGGTATGGAATATGTCCTATCTAAGGTAGGTATGGTATGTATGGCATGTATGCTTGCTATTGTATGTATGCTATTGTATGTATGGTAGGTGTGGTAATTACATTTCATATGTATGGTATGTATGGTATGTATGATAGATATGATAGGTATGGTATGCATGGCATCATTGACATGTATGGTAGGTACGGTATATGTTCAACAGAGGTAGTGTTGTCAGAGTACACAGGTAGTAAACAGGAAGTAGATACAGTAGATACATAGCACATGTATGTATGACTATAGGTAGCACGTAGGTACTTTGAAGGAGTATGTGTGCTACGTAGGTCGCCTAAAAGGTAGCATGTACCTAGTAAATGCGAGGCTGGTAGTCAGAAATGCTGCAAAGACCTAGCAAATACGAAGCTGGACCTCAGAAATGCTGCCAATAGCTTGCAAATAGAAGGGAATTGGGGCTACTACCTGGGGACCCAACCCATTGGGGGGGGGTGGGTGGAGAGACGGAGGACGGGACCATATATATGTACATATGTATTGATGGATATTAATGATTATATTTGTTTGGATATTATATATATATATACATATACATACATGTATATGTATGTATGTAGGGATATATATATATATCATCTATTGATGGATATTAACTAATTATTATATTTGTTTGGATAGATAGAAATATATATATATATATAATTATTATGTATATATATATATATATGTAGCCACATATCCTTGTGGGATACAAATAGAGGAACTCGACAAAAAAAAACATACTGGAAATGACACTCTGCAACCCAAGTTTTGCAGGATAAACGAACGCCAAATTTGGACATGGTTCGGATTGGCCCCAGAAACATATCAAGCAAACATATTCATTCGCCAATGATTTGTTTTTGTATAAAAGTTATCAAATATGCCAAGTATTGCAGGGTAAATCCCGATGTTGTATACCGTTTCGATTAAAAAACAATCCCATTATTCATGAATTCCTGATGAATTATGTGTCCATTGGTTTGATCCTCCAAGAAAGTGCTGAGCGAATATTGTCCCAGGGTGCTGCGGAGAATCCCCAGCTTAGACATCCACATCAGAAGTCAATACTTCCTCAAGCACCAAAGCAGTTCCTTTGTTTCGCTTGGATATGGACCACCAAAATGGATTGAGGTCATTCTAATGAAGCCAAAAAAAATGGATTTGTTGATTCGCTCAATGGATTGGCAGAAGATTAAAAATTTGCAGAGGACAGCCTATTTCAGACAAACCCTGGGGCCCCTGGGGTAAGCGTTTACATAGATGTGGAAAACAACCATGGTTTCCCTTTCATAAAATGATCTACATGTCTGGGTGGTTTTCCACGTCTTTTTCTATGTTTACTGGAAGGTAAAAATGTAGGTGGCTTCGAGTCTCTGCCTCTAGGATAAGGCATTTGCCCAAGATTGGCTTTCAGGCGTTGGGAGCTCAGAGAAGTGATGCATCACTTGTGTCATTCGCGACATCATCCGACAACCAACTTGCTATGAAGAGGATGAGGAGACTATGATTATGACGATTCATATTAGTGAACATGAGTTATGTATATATATTATATATCATATAAACATATATCTATTTGATCTATGAATTTGTGTTAAATGATCATGATGATTTTCTTTAATGATTGTGATGATGATTGTGATGTTCATGATGTTTGTGGTTCTTACTCGTCATATCATGTTGCAGAGGAAAAATGTGTCCATTATCATGTATTTTTCTCCAACGCAAACTTCTCAGCGCCGAACACTCCATAAATAAATAATAAAACTCACCTGTGCACTGATCAAATCTTACATATAGTAATTAAGTAAAGCCCAAAAGATAGAAGAATAACACCCACAAGAAGTAGGATGTATATGTCGACACACTTAGAACATCAAACGTTTTCCAAATGAGCCGGCACACACACACTTAGAACATCACAAAAATCAAGAAGGGGATGGTCTAAGTGTTTGTCGACCTATATATATTTATATATATTAATTTTCTTTATTAGTTTGCAGACAATTGGTTCGTTATCACTAGTTTGGGGACCCCTTTATAAATTGGTGGTTTATTCATCCGGGTTGGCCGTACTCCAGAGATTCCTTTGCTACATACATAATAATGTCACTGTTGTACCACAAAAGGTTAGACTGTCAATGGAACACAAACGAGTTCGGCCCAAACTTACCTTCGTCCTGGAAAAAAAGCAAAACAAGGAACTTGGTACCATACAACACTAATTACAAAATTAATGTTTTATCACAATTTGGAGTCTCATTTCCACAGATTGGACCTCCAAGTTTCCAGCCCTTGTCCGCCCTGCAGCGTTTAACCACGACTCACGCCCGGTGCCATCCAGTGCCCCCTCAGCGCATGCCGAAAGTGGACGAAGAAGCACTGGTCTTCAGCGAACATGTCAGGGGAGCCATGTATTCCAGAACTTGGAGTCGATCCAGGGAGAAGTTAGAGCCACTTGTCAGGACTGCGAGGGACATCGAGGGACCGGGAGGTTAAGCCGGTTAAGCAATGCTAAGCATTCAAAACTGGAGCCCTTTGGGTTCCAGCTATGAGTCAAGAATGAGTAGTGTATATGATGTTCTGGTTGACCTTGGAGTTAAAGACTAGTTGAAGCACTGCTCCGGTTTTCTTTACCCTGAGGAGAAATACAATCCATGGATCCTTGCCTTGATATAAACTGTGTTTGCCTATGACTGGTTGTTTGTTCTGGCAAATTCCCAGGGGCTCATGAAAGCAGTCTTGAGGAATCATATTGTTGCCTCTATGGAGAGTTGCCTTATTTTGGTCGTCTCAAGTTTAGCAACCCCCTTTGATGGTAGGTTCTACTCCCGTATTTCAATATTGATAGCCGCAGGTTGACTACACTTTGTATATTGATATGTCCGTATGTCCATGTATGTCCATCAATAATACCTGCATATAAAGCCTGAGTATGTCGCCACTTGGCAACCATTACATTGCATATATACTTCCCAGCCTATGGTGGCAATCAAACCGTGGGTGTAGCCATGACCCTCGCCTGCACTCCCGATGAAGTCACCTGCCAGGCGATGGTCCAGATTATAGCAATATGTAGCAATCAGGAACTAGTCAATATGCATCCATTGGGTTTGGCTGAATATAATGTATATATATATACATTATATATATATACGTATATATATATATATATATACATACGTACTTATGTATCCGTGCATATATATATGCGTATATACATATACATATTTATTTATACGTATGTATATATATATATATACATATTTTTTCTTCTTGGAGATAACATGTGTATGCAGTATAGAGATGTTCTGTTACTGCTTCAATCTGAACTGTTTCTGGTCCAGTTCCCACAGTTGCCAATGAGAACCCTGGTGTTTGTTGGTTAAATTCCCCATAACTTTCTCAAAAGATCCAAGCTTTGGTGATAAACATCTTACGGTTGTTGATCACCACCCCATTCCACTACATATATATATATATATGTTGATTCAATCGGAAGTTCTGCTGCGTTGTTTTCAGTACACCCCACGTTTGGCATCGTTTGGCTATATGGAGGTTTCTTCAAATGGTGGATCCCTCAAACCATAGGTTTCAATATTAGCATGGTCTAGTTTTGGATGGTTTCAAGTACCGCCATTTTAGGACACCTAATATGATGCTTTTGTGTATTTGAATCCTTTTTGACATGTTCAGTAGTCCCTCTCTTTTCTTTTGTTTGCTTCAGATCCCATTACATATCACTGTTCTACTTTTGTTAACAAAAGTTTAAAAAATATCTCACAGCAGGTGTATATATAGATATATATTTATAGATATAGATATAGATATAGGTAACATATAATCAATATACATAAACATATATATATATATATAACATATATTCACATATATAGTTACATACCCCAAACAATAGGACATGTTACAGATGTTTAAAGATATACACAGTTTACAATCTTATATTTTTCATATGTTGTTTATTTTATCGGGTGTGCATTGTCATTTATGTAGTAGTTTGACTTCCCAGTTGCATCATTTGGCATACCTCTATGCAACCTCGTGATCTTTATGTTATAGAAATATTGATACTTAAAACAAAAATAGCTATGTATGCACATTTTACGATCTTATGGATTATATGGATAGATATCTTACACATATTGTAGATATCCTTCATATGTCCATATGGGATAATATACATATATGATCATCTATGTATATATATATATGTACATAAAGTAGGAATTCCATCTGCAATAAGATCTAGATGTCCCATAGATTTAATTCTATCCATATTCCATCTCGTCGGCGCTGTAATTTGTAGATAGTTGTATATATATACACACACGTATATATATATATATATACACAATGTGTTCAAATCTTATAGGTTATAGTGTATATATATATGCACAGATAGATTATGTACATCTTACAGATCTTTACTTAAATCTTCTAGATTCGCTTCATATTCCAAGGTCAGCCCTGCTGGAGCTCTACGGTCTGTCCCTGGGTCGCCATCAAGCGCTGCTGCTGCCCTCTGGGATGGCAGCCATTGGGGCGACCTTGGCCGCCGTGGCCAACTCGCGAAGCAAGGTGGGAAGAGCTGGGGCATGGGAACTTCGGGGTGCAAAAATGGGGATTTTCATGGGATGTAACCATGAAAAAAAAATAATAATATGATTTAATGGGATTTAATTGATTTAACCGTGAAAAATGAAGATTTGAATGGAATCTAACCATTAAAATTGCAGATTTAATCGGATTTAATGGAGATTTTGTATGGGATTTTTAGTTTGTAACCTACTTGGTGGTGCAGTTGGGATATGGGGGACATAAAACTATGGTGAAATCTATCCATTTTTTTTGACCTGGCAGCCTGCACTTCCAAGAAGGGACATAGCAAACACCAAAAATGGTAGTTTTTCGTCGGACATGTATGCATATTTATATATATATAATTATATATAATTTACACATATATATATATATATACATATGTATATTTATTCATGGGAATATATATGTGGATATTATTTTTGGTTGCCTTTTTGGGGATGTGCCTAGCCAACTATCTCATCTCCCGCCCCAAAAATTGCGGATTCACCCCAATATAGAGCCATTTTTATGGGGAAAATTATGATAAACCATGTGATTTGTTGCGTTTTCCGCTAGATTTTCAGAAAAAAAACAAATGGGTTTGTGGGAAATGAATCATCATGTTCTTTATTCAAGTTGACGTGAATTAGATGCCCATGTATTGGGTTATTGATGGTGGTACAGGGATATCATGGGGATATGGTTGGATCATTGGGATTCTGTGGGAATATTTGGATTCAGTGTATATTGTTGTACAAAGAAATGACACACAAATTGTCATTTCTATATCCTCTGGTATATTTCGTGTTTGGTGCTGAGATAGAGGGATTAACTAAAACGGGTTATTATTGCTGCACAATGCATTGTGAACGGGGAAACATGTGAAACCTGGGACTTTGGGTCCAAAGTTTGAGACAACCGCTTTTGGTGATATGGGACTGCAACTTTTGGATCCCAGTGAAAGTACGGGAGATACCCTCTGGTAAACTAACATAGCTATTGAACATGCCGCTAACATGCCCCATAAACATGGTGATTTTCCATAGTTATGTTGGTTTACCAGAGGGCCATGCTTATAATTTTAAGATATATATATATGTTGTGAGCAATGTGATACGGTTTCACATCCATGTACCGACATATGTACAGATGTTACGTAAACGATGTTTGGGTCATCCCCCTGGGTTTTTGGGCTTCCAGGGCTTCCAGGGCTTCCACTGGTGAAATCTTCACCCTGGGTCCAGTACTCTTCATGGTCTTCATGGTCTTCATGGGCCCAAGCATCATCGAATCATCAACCTTTGAGTGGGGCCTAGACTCAAACCCATCCGAACAGAGATGTTGGGCGAAGTCCTAAGGCTTTCACACCTGGGTTGTTTTTTTGTGGCGACATAGTTTTTGTAGACCTGGGTGAACCTTGGTAAATGGCAATAACGGTAGGTCTTCATGGTCTCATGTTCAGCTACGCAAATCCAAATATTTATTCTATCCCCTACAATTTGAAAAGCTCCCTTGTTGCAAAATATGAAAGATTACTTTATACTTACAGATTGAACAGCGTAGCTTTCAGCTGTGGAACCCCTCCCCCTGCCATCTCCGGAGGGAACCGAGCAATTGGACCAGGAGCCTTGGACGTTGGTCTATGGCAGCGAACTCTACTGTGAAGTGCCACGCACGGTGCATTACGTGGCAGACAGCTGCGGAACGAAGGTGGGAAAAACGGGGAAGCCCCAAATTTGGAAGCCCCAAATCCGGTTTCAATCCTCATCTTTTCAGGAGAACTATGAACTATAGTAATAAATTACAATCATTGATGAGTTTTAATATGTGTTAATTATGGCATCCCCAATTTTGATTTTCACCCATTTTGAGACAAGCCATGCAATGATGAGGTGTTGGAATGATTCTTTGGTATCCCTGGGGTTGAGACCACCAACTGAATTCGATTTCTTCAGCAACATGTCGTTGATGCTGCATTCCATTCAAAGCGTGATGTACGCTGACAAGAGGCAACAATCCTGTACTGGCTTGTTTCACCATGAGCCATCATGAGCCATCATCCCATCATTTGATGTTTCAACCATGGGATGTTGGTGGATTTAGGCAATTCCAACCTTTAATTCTAACCATTGAATAGTTTTTTGGGGACTTCATCCCTCCAAAGAAAGTGAGTCGGTTGATTCCAAGTGTTCAGACTTCATCTCCCCAGCCAGGTGAGCTGTGTATCTGTGGATATCACCAACGTGCAGGAGCTGCTGGAGCTCTTTCGGAAACGAGGTGACTGGATCCTGGAGAGTTGTTTTTCTTTGAACATGGGGATGTTAATGAATGTGTCATTTCCGGTTACGGTTAATGATGGTTAATAAGTGGTTAATGATGGTTAATAAGTGGTTAATGATGGTTAATAAGTGGTTAATGATGGTTAATCATGTTTCCATAAATGATGTTAACGATGGTTAAGACATGTAATGATTGTTATTCATATGGATTTTGATGGATGTTGAGACTTGTTGACGCTGGTTGATAGTCATTGATGATGGCTTCTGAATGGTAAAACGGCAAAGCCAATAATGATGAATCCCCAAGTTCAACAGAAATGGGCAGTACAAGCCCCCCCAAAGTTGGAGGTCTACAGCATTGGGCTTGTAGTTTTACCCTCTGGTAAACTGTCACATAACTATGGAAAGATCCACCATGTTGTAGCTGGGAAAATCCACGATTTCTATGGTCATTTTCAATAGCTATGTAACAAATTACTAGAGGGTAATGTGTTTTCACCTATTTGAATCCCCGATGTTTATAGGCCCCTGAGCTGTTGATCATTGGAGGTAGCTTTTTCGTAGCAGATGAGATAACTCCCCCCGATTTTTCAGCAGCCAGGTCAGCCAGGTTTTTTTGACTCATCCGGAGTTGACATGGACGTAACATCAGTGGCCAGAAGTATCATGAAATATCCATGATTTTTGTTTCTTCGAAACATCCGGAAATAGAATGCCAACTAATGTACCTTAACTAACCAGACTCGGAAATACGTATCAAATGAATACACAGAAACCTCAGCTGGATCTTCCTGGTAGGTAAAACCATTGGGATCTTTCACTTCGAAGCCTGCACCAATCCCAGTGGGCAGTTTTGGGATTTTCAGATCCTGGGCGAGTTGAGAAAACTGGCTCCCGAGTGCGTCTTCATATGTGATGCTTGACTCTGTTTTCTTTACCCTCCGGTAATCAAACATTGAAACTGAACATTCCCTATAAATGGAGGTTTCTAGCTGAATTTCGATTCATCCATACATGCTGGATTTGAAAGAGGCCACGTTTGATGACACCGGAGGGTAAAATTGGATTCAACCAAGATTACAAGGTGGTGCACAAGGTAGCGCTGGGTGGACAAAAACCAACTTGTAACTGGGGAGCAGCATCTTGTAAGGGCGTATTCTATAACCAATATAAATTAGCCACCGATTACATGTTGAAGAGTTGTTGACTCTGTCTTTTTGATGGTTGAACTGGTTCCCCTCAACTGACAGTGATTGATAGTGGGTTTTCGGTGAGCCCTCAACTGAAAGACGGTAGTGATTTTACAACCACTAACGTTGGGGATTGGGAAACTCATCTATTATGGGGTCACCTTTGAACAGGCGTTGCGGAGGCGCGCATCCCCAATGTTTATACAGGGACCTGTTTGGACATCCGGCTGTGTTGTTCTTCTTTCCTCCAGGATTGTCTTGTTGATTATGATGTCTAGCGTCTGGCAAGAAGTTCTACAAGTTCTATGCTTCTGACAATGCAGGGGTCAACGGTCATGGTCAACTGGTTGGTGGTTTGGAACATTTTTTATGTTTCCATATATTGGGAAGAATAACCCCAACTGACTTTCATATTTTTCAGAGGGGTTCAAACCACCAACCAGTCAACATGTTGCGGTCTGTTCAAGAATGCATGAAATTCCACTTCAACCAACATCTGATGGGCAATCTAAATCCACTCCCAAGCTGCCCAATCTGGACCTCTGAGGACAACACCTGGCTGTCGGGTGCGTTGTTCAATCCCTTGGAACACGGAGCGGACCTGGTGGTTGAGAGTCTGACCAAATACGTCTCGGCGGGGCGTTGTATCGGAGGCGGAAAAGTCGACGGAGTATCGGAGCGGGAAAAATGATGAAAAATGCAAGTTTGGTTATGATTGGTTATGGGTAGTTTATGGTTATGATTAGCAGTTGATTGGTATTGCTACCAAGATTATTTATGATTACTAATCAACTATATACTTGATGTTGATTAGTTGATCAGATTCATGATAGTGGCTGACTTTCTCTTGCGTAATTATAAGTTGTATTTTATATAATATGGTTGGTATATAACTATATCATCATCATTAACTTATGTTAATGAATTGTTTATATTACTTGTTGGAAACCATCTAACATCATCTAACCAACGTTCCTCATCCCTTTCCGCTCGCAGACGGTGGTCGCAGACCAGGTGCAGTGCTGGGCGTGAACAGCTTGATGGCGCCGATCCTCTCGTGGATCAAAGCCTTTGGTGAGCTGTCGACGATTGCCGGTTGGGAGTTCACCAGAAAAAGGTATGGGGATGTGATGGGAATGTACTGGTGATATATATATATATACATACTATATATAAATATATAATAGGGATCTATCATGGTGATATAATGGGTATATACATATATACATATTGTGATGTATAATTGGAACATATAATGCGGATAAAGCCATCAATAGGGAATTGCACATATTTTGCCACCAGCCATTGCTTCAAACGTGGCCAGTTTAAGATGGAGATGATAAACCACTGGACTTGTAATTACCCTATTTTCAGAAAAAAAACACAAAAAAAAGCTGCACTTTGCTTGGCATAAAGAGTGGATTTCAGAGCCTAGCCCTTGTTTTCCATCAAAATCATGGGGCAGACCATCGAGGGTTCCTAGTTGAACCGAGCACCACCTATTGAACTAGGGCACAATCTGTACCGGGGGTTGCATCACTTGTTGCTTGCATCACTTGGTGCTGAATGTTCCATGTAGCTTTCAGGTTGTCCAAACATGAAATACCCACAAAATCCACTTTATCATCATGTTGCCTACAAACATATCAAACATTACAATTTTGGTGTATTCTACTTTTGCACAAACCACATACCCTCTGGTAATTTAACATAGCTATTGAAAATGGCCATTTATGGTGAGTTTTCCCATTAAACATGGTGATTTTCTATAGCTATGTTAAATTACCAGAGGGTATACCCCACATGCACCGTTTCACCAACCAGGTATGTTTGTGGCTGCTGACCACTGCGAATTGTTCCTTGACTCTTTGAAGAGCCTGCGTGCCCGCATGCAGGCAAGGATTCCGGTTGTGCAGGGGATCAAGATCGGAAACTACTGGGTTTGGGCAAAATCTCAAACCACTATTGACATTTACCCTCTGGTAAATAAACATAGACCCTGGCAGATAGGGGTTGGAAGACTAGTTTCCATTAAACATTGGTGATTTTCAGGGTCTATGTTTATTTACCAGATGGTACTATAAATGGGTGATTGTCAATTGAAAAAACATCTATATTCTGTACTATAAACAGGTCATGCTGGACATGCGCGCAGCAAAAAAGAACAGGCAAGTTCCCCATAATCAAGCTGATGAAGGCTAACACAAAGATGTTGTACTATGTTTTCTGCGTACCCTCCAGGAATTTAACCTGCCAATGCAAAATCGCCCATTCATAGATTTTGTATTCCCTTTAAAGATGGAATGTTCCATTGCCATATTAAATTCCCAGAGGGTAACTATAGTATCTCAACATCTGTTCGAACATTGGGATTTCCCCACGGCAAGATGAGAATCACAGGCTTTCAGTGTCCGAAATCGACCAGGCGACGTCTCAAACAGCGCAGATGATGGCTGCACATCTGGAAGCACATCCGGCGGTGAATCGTGTGATGCGACCCAAATGCAATGGCTTCAGCGTTGCCCTCGATTCTAAAATGAGGACATATGACATAGATAGATAATGATATATATATATATATATTACATAAGTATATATTACATACATATATATATACACATCCATATATATATATATTATACAGATATAAATATAGATATAGATTGATGCCATGGATGAAGATAGGGAAGGCTCCATAAATGCCATGGGAAAGATAGAAAGCCATTCCCATTTGCATGGTTGGGGATGCTGGTGGCGTCAACGTGTTTGTCATGGATAATCACCCGGAGAATGGTGGTAGTTTCCATATATATAGTCAACTCATGCGACTGGATGGGGGAAGAGTTGCCTTGAGCAAAGGAGCTGCTTACTGTGCTTCCCATGGTTTGTCATGTTTGTATTTTGGGGTGGCTCCATCAAAGGATCGAACGCGGCCTGCTACTGACCCGGTCGCTGTTTTCTAAGGTACCCACTGCTGGCTTCTCATCCCACCGCCTCGGTTGCTACTCGAGCCTTGTCAGCTCACAGGTTCTGCAATCGATGGGCCTCCGAAATATGAACAGATTCAAGGGCCTAAAACCATACGAAATCCGGGTTTCAAGGGTAATTTTCATATTGGATGGGATTATAACATGCATCCGCCGTATTGAATTGTTCCTATCTTCAGAGGCAAGGGATTCTGAAACATGAGCACATGATTTTTTCAAGTCGTCGGGAGTCTGACTGCTGAGAAGATCTCCCTGCTTGAAACAGCTGAGGAAGTGGGAAATGATCTTCATCTCTGCATTATGTATATACATTTATATACGCACTAGTTTATAATTGGATATTTATATCCAGCTTAAGGCTTAAGGCTTAGACGGTTGAGTTCTCTTCCAAGCAGATCGACCACAATCGATATTCCCCCATTGGCCACCACTGATCCCAGCCTTGGCTCCCAGGATATTTAGTGCAGGGCCTAGGGCCCAGCTGTATTTGGTTCCATGTTTCGGCCAAGAAGCAGCAGCTGGTCTCATCAGGGTGCTTCGTATGACGCTGGTGAAAAGTCAGGGTTGCTGTTGTGGAGAAACAATGAGCATGTTTTCTGTTGCAGGAATTGAAGAAACAGTTTCAGGTATTTGTGAGTATGTGGAGTTTCAAGCCAGGTTCAGGGCAATGAAACACTTATCTGAACTGGGTTGTTTGTTTCACTCTTATATTCTGTTCCCACTGGAGTTGAAGTTTCTTTCAGATACAGTCTTTCAGCGGCTCACCATTGATAAGGTATATCATGAAACTCCTGACATCCTCGGCAGCTCCGGAATGCAAGACTCTTGACATGGAATTCTCAAAGGGATTTGTTTTTGGGGCCTCAGCCTTGGTCACCCAAACTGAATCCATTTGATTCATGTGATTGTTTCTCAAGGAATGTCTCATTTACACGGGATGATTACAATCTCTGCGAACAGTTTTTCTCGATTGGGATGTTCTGTTTTGGGCTCAACCATCTGCCCAGCCCCAGGACCTCCTTTGGTGCGCGTCAGAGTCGCTTGGACCCCTGGCCCAAAGCGGCTTCCAGCAGCAGCTACGACCGAAGCGACCAGACGAAGGGCGGCCGGGAGGGCACCTGGCTTCGCTTGGCCGTGCCTTGGTAGTTGGGAAAACCACATGATCTCATGGTGTCTGGGGAAACCATAGAATATAGATGAATGTACTAGAATATATTATAATATATGCTTCAGTGCAACTCAATCCTTTCCCATACATTTGGAATCATATGGATGACAAGCTAAGAAACCATGTTTTTTGGGGGGGTATCCAAGATTGGCTTTCTGTTTGCCTGCGCTCAGGTTGGCTTTGAGGAGGAGACTTGGCGGCAAGGGATGTACTTTGTGACGGAGGTGGCAAGGGAGGTGGTTAGATGTTTGTTGTTTGTGTTGTGTTCTTTTGAATTCACAAGACATACGCACGGCCCAGAATCCATTCGAAAATTGGAATGATCAGGACCACTTTTTTTACACACACAAGGGTGCCACACATGGGTCCGGGTATGGCTCAAAAAAGGGAAGCAAAAACCGCCTTTGTTTAGGCCATTAATGTCATTCACTCAATTACCCAAGTTTATGAGTTCAGAACTTTGCCCAGCCGGAATAGTCTCCGACCTAGAGCAGACCAACAAAAGGGAATGTTAAGGGTTTCTGTATATTATGTGTTTGGAAACATTGTTACTCCTCGCCTCATCCATGTCTAGTGGCCGTGTGCAAGTCGAAGCCAGTTTTCTTCGGTATCGCCATCCGCACATTTTCGCTGGTTAAACCATTGACAGCTAAACAATCCTTTTCAACAGATACATGGTCACTTTTTCGGATGTTTCCCAACATCATTGCCACGGAATTAGCATAGAAATTACAAGTCCCAACATCAATGTCACAGAATGAGCCTAGATGTCTGAAAATAGGCTACGATAGAAAATCCATGAAAATCCAGTGGTTATAGAAATCATCAGTATCCAATTTTTGTCCCTATTAAAATGACATGAATTGATGTTGAATTTGTGGGGTATACCCTCTGGTAATTTAACATAGCTATGGAAAATCACAATTTTTAATGGGAAAATCCACTATCAATGGCCATTTTCAATAGCTTTTTGTATGTTTACCAGAGGGTACCCTTCACCCCATTTTCCCAGCAGGAACCAGCCGCTTTGGTCCATGCCATGAACACGTTCCTCTCGCAGCTTGCGGCTTCTCCGGGGTCTCCAGACCAGGCCAGTGGTGTTACCATGTTTTTGGCCTCCGGGAAACATGGCGGGATTTTCGAAAATCCCGAAGAAAATGGAAGTTTATTTGGATGTGGGTCAAAATGGAAGACCGTTAAGGGGACCACAGATGTGAATGTCTAGTTTAGTATTAACCATCCATAATTTTGGGGTACCTAATTTTGACCCATACCCATTTAATGGAAACATGTTCCAAATCTGGGGGATTTTCCAGCCACTGTGACTGTGACGTCGCTGTAGAAATCATATGGTTTTGATTTCAGTCACTATCTCAAAATCGTAATGGCCAAACTGTGCTAAGGTTGGCAAAATCGATTCAATCGATATGTAGTTTTTCCGGACATAGTATATAGAACCATACCCTATGGATCCAAACACCTCCTGAGAAGGTACAAAATACCCCCCAAATCATACCCCAAACACTTCCTAAGAAGGTATTTGGATCCGCAGGGATATACATAGATAATGTTTTTTTCCATAGATAATGTTTTTTTCCATAGACATATTATCCATATACAACCAGTTCCAAGGATAATGGTTTTTTCAATAGACCAACTCCCTCTAGCCTCGTTGCGGTCCGAGGTGGTGTCGTTGGTGCCATCCATGTCTGAGGGCCGATGGAGACGGAAGACGTGAGGACTTTGCTGGGGATATCGTGGGGGACGACCCGGCCCCTGTAGCCTGATGTAGCCTGAAAAAGGGGGTTCTTCCCCATCTTACCCTCTGGTAAACATACAAAAAGCTATTGAACATGGCCATTTATAGTGGATTTTCCCATTAAACATGGTGATTTTCCATAGCTATGTTAAATTACCAGAGGGTACCCCATGATTTTATAGTACTTTTACCATGTATTTGGGGGTTATTTGGATGGTCGATGTGTGATACTTCACCAGACACTAACTTGGGATGGGACTTCACCATCAACAATTCCTGTGGAATGTCTGGAAAAGTTGGTGATGCTGTCTATGGCAACGATGCCGGGGACATGATGAAACACTGGCTTGTGGGGAACATGGAGAGGTTCCTATAAGTCTTTCCATAGCTGGGTAGCGGCCTCAGCCCTCACCATAAATGAAAGAAACAGATATGAGCTCATATGAAACTGATATTTTGTATGTACCAAGCAGACCACTGCAGTAGGAAAAACGGATTGGGATATCTTAGGGGGAACCAGCAAACCAGACCCCCCAAAACATGGTGCCAGGTCCATTCCCACGCGGACCAGGAGCGAATCGAAGTTAGCGCCACATCAGTGGCAGGTTTTGCCGACGGGTCAACCTGATGGCAAGATGGCCCGTCCCGGGGTACTCAGGGGATACCATGGATCCAGTAACATGGCTATGGAAAATGATCATTTATGATATATAATTTCATGGATCCATTAAATCACCATTAAAACTAACATTTATAATTAATAATCATGTAATTTGATGATTTGACCTATTATGATTTTCCATAGCATGATGTTTACCAAAGGCTACCGCCATGATGGCACCAACGGCGTAATATTCGCAGATGTACAGTGTACAGACTCCCGAAGGTGCTTTGGAATCAGAGCTGCCCGTTGTGCACCAAAAAGTGCCACAAAAAGTCTAAAGGTGGCGCAGGTCCCTGTAATGGCAGACCCAAAATCTGATGGTTCAGTCCCAGAATTTTAAAAAGGTTGCTTTCTATGGCAATATTGGCGCATGGTCCTCTTGTTGCTCCCTGTAGCATGTTCGGTCCAACTCTCTTGTCAGTCTTTGACCAACAGGTCAAAGTCTATGCAGAGTTCTGTTTTGAGTGCCCTGTCCTGCTGAACCATCCAGAATTTCCTGCCTGGTGGGAGCTTTCAATGATATTGAATGATACTGATATGTCATGTTCCATTCAGCCATTCTTTTGGATGGTTGGAGAGATGTATCTAATTTGATTTCACTATTTCAGGTGAACCAAAAACCAGCCTTTTTCACCAACCAGAAATTCAGGTCCCGCGCTTCACACTTGGAAGATTCACTGCTCTACATAGAAAATCATAGAAATACAGTACCCTTTGGTAATATAACATAGCTATTGAAAATACATCATTTATAGTTGATTTGCCTATTCAAAATGGTGATTTTCTATAGCTATGTTAGTTTACCAGAGGGTAATTGAAATGACCATGCCGAGTTGATTTGCTTATATAAGTTTGGATGACCCAGAAAGTTCGAGAAAAAAAGCCCAGGCCTTTGTGGTGGAAGCCGGCAATCTCTGGTTTAACGTCATGGTGTGAGTCCTGGAATTGACAGAGGTCCCGGGGATAACCACAATGAAGGGATGGGAAGAGCACGTAAGTTGCCTCTTTAAAGTGCCAAAGGGCACAGTTGTGAAAATCACCATTTTGTAGCTGGGTAAATCAACTATTTCTATGGCCATGTTCAATAGCTATGTTAATTTACCAGAGGGTAGATGAATTAGGAATTAGGACTTATGTACATCAGCCAGCAATTGTTGCTGCTTCAGAACTTTGATTCACGAGTTGGAAACATAGGAAGGTTGGAGAAGATCTTGCCACCGTGCATCTCAGAAGATGAGATTGGCCTAAAGAACTGGACCTTGGATACCTTGGCGTTGCATCCTCGAGTTGTCTTCCACGAACGATCTTGGATTTTAGATACTTTAGACACTGATTACTACAAAGGTCACAACCACTTGCCACTGGCATATAATATATACACATATTGGTTGAATCTCATTACCAAGGTCTTTAGCTGCTGCGCAGTGTGCTGCGTCATCCTTTTAGCAACACGACGAAAGGCCGGTGTTTTTTCTTTGTGGCTGTGGTGCATCTTATAGACCAGTGAGGGATACATGCTACAAGGTAACCGCGAAATTCAGAAATGAGTTTGTGGGAAACCTACTAACACCAGCACATTTACAAAACCACCCCAGTCATGGGCAGATGTTTTTTTTGTGTTATCCACCTCTCCGGCCGCTTAGAAACCACAAATGGCATGCGTTCAACCAAACCCCAACATAAGGTAAGCTACTACTGCGCAAGCAAGTTTATGATTTTAAAAGAACATAAAGCAACATGTTCTTCTATTTTGTTCTGCACATTCCATTGAATTTGGTTGGCATCCCATCTTGCATTACTGGTTGATCCAGCCGGGCGCTGTGACAATTTTCCAATGATCATGATTTTGGAGACAATTTGTATGTCTAAATGGATCTAAATGGCATGTTTCATGGCAAGTCCCATTTTTGTTGCAGATATTTCCCTTACCAAAAAAACATAAGTCAGCGGAAGGCACACGTTCTACCAGATCTCCATTTCTGGCTGGTTGAGATAACACAGAAATGGGACGATGTCCGTTTAGAGCCTGGGATCCGCAGTGGTCAACGGTCAACAAGCCCGGTGTTTGAAGGATTGGGCACAAAGAACAATAGGTCAATAGGCAACATTGGGCCAGGTATGGCTAGGTTGTTATTGGAAGAACTGGCCATCTCCATGTCCAATAAGAAATCCAAAAGCCACCAGACCTGGGTGACCTGCGCCACAATCAATTGTTGGATATCTCAGATATCTCGCAGCCACAACAAACAGTAGCATGAATCAATACACTGAGACGTTCATTGTTATGGTCCAAATCCATGGTGATGCTTATCCTCCAAGCCCATATCTAAACCTTTTTTGGTATCTAATTTAGTCTAATTGAGTAAGAACATAAGAACCATACAAGTTAGAACAGGTTTAATTTAGATGACATTCATTCATGATATATATATATATATATGTACGCAGGTTTAGAATGGTTTTGACAATACAATGCAAATATATATATGTATATATATATATATTATACATATGATAGAAGTATAGTGTTTATTATCCCTGTGGATCCAAGTACCATCTTAGGAAGTTTTTGGGGTATGATTTTGTTGGGGTATTTTGTACCTTCTCGGGAGGTGTTTTTTTTAGATCCATAGGCTATAGTGTTTATACATAAAGATACATAATCTAGATATCATAGATGTAAACACCAGATGATAAACACCAGATAACAAACACCAGATAATAAACACCAGATAATAAACACTATTATACATAATCTATATGACATCTATTAGATATATGACATCTATATATGACATAAACACTATAAAGATATCATAGATGTCATATATCTACTCCCTGATGTCGCCGGCCGTTTAGCTTGCCAGGTCTTTGGGGGTGAGCTCGGTGGTCCCAAGGGCCCTGCGTCCTTTGGCCCGATGCAGGGATGCAGGGAGAAAAACAATGATAGCCTGTTTATACATATATATATATATATATATACACATTATATATATATACATTAATATGTATACATGATATGATACTAGTTACTAGTTTATTTATTTATATGATATATAAGATATATACATATATATATATATGATATGTCACATTAGGTAGTGGGATGAAAGGAAGAAGTGGAAACAGGTCACAACCAGTGAAAAAACAGATTGACAAACCATTGGCATTCCATCCTGCCATTCAGTCCATCTATTTCACGATTGAAAACCAGGATGGCAGTGTTTTGACAGGTCTGACAGGTAGTCACATGATGGTAGTAACCCTATGGTCACATAGTGAGCAATCATGGTGCAATATGGTGATGAATCGAGCACTTAGATCATCCGGTTGTAGACTCTGGTGGCTGTGGTTCGGTGCAATAGCCATTGGCACAGAATCGCAGAATGTGATTTTGAAATGGGATTGTTGAGATATGCTGGTTGTATGGTGACATGGTGGATTTTTGGGTTGCTTTGTTCTGTCATCAAGTGCAATGACCCGACAAGAATTGTGCCCCAGCCTAAAAGATGGTCGATTTGTGGGGACGAGTCATGTTTATCCCCATCTCTGAACCCAGGATTTTGGGCATGACCATATCTCTGTTCGTGTACCTTAGGGTAGTGTCGAACATTGCAGTGTTTATCCCATGTCGGACGCAACACAACACGGAGTTGTGGTTACAGGATGAAGTGACAGGGTGATGATCCCTTGGGGGACTCAGGTATGTGAGCTCGGTCTTTCTGGCCCCTTGGCAACGCTTCGAGTCAAAACCAACCGGGACTTGGGATGACGACTGGGACTGGGACTCCCTGGAGGCTGGTTTCCAAACCTCATGGCTTGAATTGGGAATACGGAGATTGTGAAATTGGAATGAAGAGTGACTAATTGGAATAAATAGTGACTAATTATCCAACAAAAAATGATATCCCAACAGTACCAATTCGGAAGTTTAGTCCAATAGTGAATACTCTATGTTGTGACCTTAAGACTCAGCGATTTTGGGGGTGGACTCTGATCCGGCCGACAGCAACGCAGCACCTCTCGGCTCTGAGGTTTGCTTATGGGCACTGTACGTGTGGCGCCCCGTGGTTGATCCACCGGGTTTGATGATCTGTGGTACTCTGGTACTGTACTGTATACTGGTTGGTGGTTTGGAACATGTTTTTCCATATATATATATTGGGAATAATCATCCTAACATATCCTAACTGACTAATATTGGTTGAAACCACCAACCAGTATAATATCTACCACAATTCCAGCTGCAAAACTCACCCAACATCACCACAAGCTAGGTAAATATCATTATACCATTCAGACTTTGTGTGGCGGATAAGAAGCCAGATCCAAATTTGACATGTGGTGGGGTTGAAAACCTTCACAAAACATATGGTCAGGGTGGAGGATTGGGCTCACCAGATTTGCCGTTGAGACAAACAAAACTCAGATGTCAAAGGAAAACACTCTAGCAAGTAGCAGTGTGACTGGCTGGTGGCATCATGCCGACAATTGTATATTTATGTATATTTTTTATATAATTATGTATATATATAATTATGTATATATATAATTATACATATACTTTATATATACATACATGCCCTCTGGTAATCAAACGTGGCAAGTGGAAATCCTTGATTTTATTGGAGGTTTGAATGGGAAAATCACCATGGGATTTCCCAGCGAGCCACATTTGATTACCAGACGAATCAAATTGTGCTTTGGAAGGTGAAGTATTGCCTGAAAAGCCCTGGATAATCCTGGATATGTCAATAGGTCTTCCCCAAGCCACAGATTGATTATTGTTGGTCTAGGCGTCCATGGAAATTAAAAAGCGTACTAGACATGTTGACGTCAAGTCACTGGGCAAAAATAGGTGATACAACCGTTGCAACCCGTGAATCGTTTCTCGAATTCAAGGAATTTCCAGGATCTCTCACATACCACACCCATGTTGAAGATTCAAAGTTCATCAACGCGAGAAGGTCAAGATCACGTTGTGACGTCATTTCTGGATCCGGCGCACAGCTGGGGAGGTTGTTAACGGTC